GAGGGAGGCAATCGAAACAGAGATGAACATCAGACACAGCGAAACTTATTGTAGACCATCAGGAGCACGATATTTGGTGGGTTCAACGTTGGCTCCAATGTGAAAGAGCAGATACCCTGTACATTTCGTGGCTGTGGACGTGAAGAGTACAAGAACGGTCGTGGATCAAGCTTTCTCAGTGCCAAAGTGTGTGAGATTGGCAAGAATGTCTGAAAAGTCTTACGAGTTACTATGTAAGATGTTCTCAGCAGTCCCAGAGAGAACCAAAGAGGAGTTGGAGTCAATACTGGGAAAGAAGTTCATGGGATATGTGAGCGGGAACTTCAGTGACTTTGAAAAACAGAAACAGAGAGGATCAACTGTCACAGATTACAATGCAGTAGATGAGAATGATGAGATCCACCGAGTGATGATGGAAGTGGAACCATTGCTGGAAGCTTCGGGAAAACGGAATTGGAGGAGCGTCATGTTGACACATGACGAGTTTCCTTGCCACTGCTTGCTGCAGACCTGGTGGTATCCCAAGCGTAGTAATCTGGTGTTGATCTGGGACTCTGGAGAGCTGCTCTCCATGGGTTTACCAGATTCATCACAGCCCATAACAATAGTGATAGTGGGAGTTATGATGGCGATACGATGGCTGGAAGCTCATGTGAGAGAAAATAATAGACAGGAGGCACCGACGAGAGAACAATTGCAGAAATTAGATTGTCTAAAAGATTTAGATCTTTTTGAGACAATGTGCAAAGTTCTAAACATTCCAATGGAAGTGAAGAAGATATGGGCAAGAAAACGATTGATGCCATGGTTCAGAGCTAACATGAGACTGCATGGTTGTACGAGTATGCGAAAAAGCACATGTCGAAGCATGGCAGAGTATACAGTGAATATCAGCTGGACATTGGGGCAGGAGCTTTCAAGCGAGCTTTCGTGACCCATCGGAATGCAGTGACCACCGCTGTGAAAAGAATTTCCAGGACGAGCGAGCGTAGTGGAAATGAGAAGGCAGAGATGCTGAAAGAAGATTTGGAGAGAAACGTGACGTTGTGTCTCCACAACAGCTTCTGTAGAAACAGAGAATCAAACGTGGATCCCCTACCTTGCTGTAAACAGAGGGTGGAAGAGCAGAAGTGTTGGAGGACGGCTTCCAACAGCGTCAGGATAGTCAATGACGTGCTACAAGACACGGAAACCGAAAGTGCGGAGTCAGTGTCACAGGAGGAGGAAATGGAGCATTGACGAATGGTCGAGAAAACAAGAGGCGGCAAGAAAGGAAATTAGAAGAATTTAGAAGTTTTAGAACTTCTAAACGACGAAAAAAGAAGAGAACAAAGGAATGATGAAGAAAAGTCAAAACTCAGAATTGTTTTATGTGTGTGAAAAACTCAAGTGAGAAACCAAGCAACCAAGTTGTAATTGAAAACTGAAACATTTTGTTGAGTTTTGAAATTGTTGCATTTATAAATTTGCATTTTGGTTTTAGTTGAAGTGGCTTTAGAGACACTCACTTATTATTTATTTAGAAAGGCTTGAGGGAAGAGTATATTTAAATATTCCAGCCTGCATGATTGTTTTTAATCACTTAGGAAGACTGATCACTTTGTGGTGACATGAAAAACTTGAGTAACTTCTTGAGGAGGGAGGTTGTTGCATTGTTCTTTCTAACCACAAGGTTTCTTGGTTTTAATATTCAGGACAATAAACAAGCAAGATTTCCGAAGGGAAGGAGCATAGTAGGATAATTTTAGCTTGTTGGTTGGCAGGACTGTCCTGCAAGCCAACACCTTTTAAATCTAGGAGAAAAAGCTTTAATCGGGACATTGACACTGGAAGTCAGAAAATATGTTTTATCTTAAGTCATATCCTCAGAGTGCAGATTAATGAGAGAATTTGAAGGCTATAGTGATGTAGTATGATGCCATTTATATTCTGCAGTGAGTCGATGTGACGTAGATAAAGGTAATTTCGTGCATTTTGTAAATTCTGTTCGATGACACTGTAACCATTTTACGAACATAGTGCGATTCAATGTGGACATTGACCGGACTGTCCGGGGAGTATGTGACATTCGACCAGAATGGCCAAAATGCAATTTATGCAGACTTCGAATTTTTAGCAGTAGGCATTCCGAGTTGATGATTTCGAAGGATTAACGACGTTATTCGGATGATTGGCAGAACGGTGAAGGTCAGGATATTCCCGTATTTTAAAATTTTAAATTTTCGAATGATGACGTCACATTTCTGAGAAATGCTGAAACGGCCATTTTAACAAAAAACGAGTGAAAGAACACAACAACAACATTAGTTGCGCTGACGAGAACAACTTTATCTGTGATTGCGAACAGAACGAAAATCGAGATTAAAGAAAAACGAAAACGAACTACAATAGCAGAGAACGTTCCAAGTTGCAACTATTGTGCTGCTACAATAGTTGCAAGGCCGTTGCCAACAACGGTGAAGGGTGAGAACCAGCCTTCCGGATTGGCGTGAAATTGAACTTAAGGAGCTTGATTCACTGGATTCAAGAATCCGGAAGGGTTTCGGGACTGGAACTTTTAGCCTTTTATATAAACTTTTAGCTTCTTGTCATGTCCTGAATTGAATTTAATTAACAACTGGATTCATTTTGATAAGGATGAGAAGCTAGGAGTTGGGGGGAAAGGGTTGGTCCATCTTCGATGGAGATGATGGTTTTTATCTACTGAACAAAAACAATAGTAATATAATAAGTAGTAGCCCTGTTTTTAGGAGTGACCTCGTGGTCTGGGGATACTGAGACCCAGCCATGAGCTCACTATTTTTGCATGTAATTCAGTTAATTTGAGCGTTCTGGTCGAAGCCGGAGAGCAGTAACGTTTTTGTCGACCCGATGTAAGAAAGACCACCGAAAAGTACTGGCTTGGTAGAGACGGTGAAAAACATGCAAAGCTCTGTTTAGACGCTAGCCAGTCGTCTTAAGACTTAGTTTTGTTATCCGTCGATATGTATCTTCCGGGCGAATGTTACACCAGCCATCATCTGTTTTTAGCTAAAAAGTTACGGTCCTCAGAAAATCAAGTTTTTGAACTTTGACAGTTTTTTTTTATTAACTTTTTGATTTTTTTTAAGGTAACCTATCAAATCTGACATGAAAAATTCAATCGAAAGAAGCGTATGTGCGATTTTTTTTTTTGCAGAAGCGGCTTCTGAATTTTTTTTTACGATAAACTTCTTCTCAAAGTTTTTTTTTCGTTCACTTATTTTAGTAGAGAAACAAGGTTTGGGCAATTTTTGAAGTTACGCCTTTCGCCCAGCATCAGTATAACAACTCCAGAAAATATCAAACACGTTCCTCCAGCTTTAGCTGGGCCTAGGTGTCCTTCATCGAGACATACGAAGATTTTGGTTCACCTAGTTTTTTTCGATATTTTTCGGCTTATGTTTTATGATTGCGTTGTAACGCATTGCGGTGTATCGCTTCGCCTGTGTTATTATTATGACTTTGAGGATATGCCACTGGGGTGTTAGCCCCGCTGATTACGTTCAAGGGTTTGCACGGCAGTTTTATTAAATACAAATAAAAGTCTTATGTGCAAGGTTTCTCTTCATTCCAGTTCCTTTCTAAGTAATACCATCTCTTCGATCAGTTTCTTCTTCAGACTAATTCGAGGTTTCTACATTTTATTTTCTAGACTTCATAGAGATGATTTTTATCGTGTGCTCCGTAGTGTTTGCGTGGCGCTCTTTTCCTCCTCCCCACATTTGAACTTCAATTTTGAAAAACTACTTTAACGTTGTCATAATGCAATGAAGTTTTGCATGGCGAACAACTTAACTATTGTAAACACATTGGCTCTTTTCCCTTCCCCCCACCAGCGAATTTTTACAAGTAACTCTATTCTCATTGTCTGTTTCTTTTTTACACAAACAAAGCTTTTTTGATAGTATAAACTCCTTTTTTTTCAACCTAAGTCGCAAATATTGGTGTTAATTTTGAAAAAATTCATTTTGATCAATAATCAGCTATTAAATACAGCCAATGGTAAGGAAATTAACACAAACTATTTTACAAATAGCACTTTAGCTTCATGGTATCATGCATCTGTAGCGTAGAGGTAGGGAAAGAGACCCGCAAAAAATTAAGAGGATTCAAACCTGGGCTAGGTCGGATGGTTTTAATGAACTTTTTCGTGTACTATTTAAAATTTGTCCGCTCTATAAATTGAGGCATTTTAGCTGGTAGGTTTTTTCAAATTTACTGGTACTGCACATGCGTCAGAATTGGCTTGCGTCACTTAGCAATTATGTAGACTCAGAATTGGCGTGCTTCAGTTAAGAAATTTTGTAGACTCAAAGTTTTACTCATTCAGTTTTTCCCAGTAGCGCTATCGGTCATATTTTTGCTTGTGTATGCGAAGTGCAACTTGGCCTCTGTGTACAAAATTTGGCATGTGGACTAATTAGGCTGTGACAAACAAATGTGTTCATCACACCTCACCTTGTAAAACCCCTCGTTACGCCAGAAAATTGGTCCTTATATGAGGTGGGGGAAAAGGAAAAAGAGTCAGCACATTTGTTATTCTTTATACCTTACCTCGTTACATCACGCTTTCAGCCATTATAACACGTTAGTCAACGAAGAACAAAGAAAAATTGAAATATGGGGTTGGGGGTGTGGAAAAGAACCCGCTTGTGTTTACGGCGGTGATGGGTGATGGTATTTCGTGAAACGTTTTACTCAAATTGATCAGTTTTCTAGCTAATTTTTTTAAAAGTTCTAGTTGAGATTTTTCGATTTTTTAAAATTAGAATCTTCGACATAGTGGCTTCCGTCTCATTTGCGGTCGGCTAGTTTAGAATGCTGTTTGTGTTGTGTTGCGAACCTCCGATTTGCCTCTGTGTTCACAAGTTGAAATGTTTTAAACAGATCCTCGAAATTATTCAAAAATATAGACAGTTAAATACTGTTTCATTTCACCATGCACGGATCTTAAATTGGGAAAAATCTATTTCAGATCATAATTTTATGGTGTTGAAGTTTATCTGTCAATTGTAAGTTGCCTGTCGTCATTGACAGCAATGCCTACTGAGCGGCAGATTCAAGCGTTGAATATGTCTCCCAGAGGTATATCAGTTGATGACAGTAGTGTTTCTTCCACTCCCCTCCTGGTAAAAGATGTCAACACTTATCCGAACCCGGCTACAGTTAGACAACCGTCTCATTTTTCAAGAGTTATCAATCAGAACAATCTAGATTTCCCAGTAACATGTACGTACGAATTTAATACAGGCCATGGAGGTTTTCACTACAGCCAAGCACCGCTCGACAGCAGTACACTATCCCGTAAAAGATCGTTCAATCAGAGTTATAACCGCAATATTGCCGCTTGCCCGACGCCCCGAAATTTAAATTCTACATACGACGAGTTAACGGTGGACATTCCAAATACGAAGCCTGAAACTATTATCAGCTCCTCAATACCATGTTCTCCACATAGTTGGGCAAACTCGCAACATGGCAATCAAAGCCATCATGTGTTCAGCATCGATGACATGGGCGCTCTAAGGGGTCCCAATTCGTACAACTTTGGGAACAACGCTGGAGCGAATGGGATGGCACGCTCCGTTAGTTTCGGCGCTGACTCATTCCCAGACCAACAGTATTCAATGTATTCAAGTCCAGGCTATCATAACGTTCAAAACAAAAGATCGAGTTTCCAAGGCACGCCCAACAATACGAATGCATTAGGCTGTGATGGTTTTTCGGATAGTTCAGGCTTTTCGTCAATGCACTGTCAAAGAGGTCAACGATCCCCGGGATCTGATCGCCCAATGCACATGGATCAGCTGAACACTAGTCAATTTGGCAGTGATGTTTCCAATGTGGAGTCAGTTTTCAGCGACATAGCTAGTTACAGTCAGTATAGTGAAAACCAAATGGACATTGACTCCTTAAGATCTCCTCGAGATTCTTATGGTGCTAATGAAGAACTGCGCACTTCATTTAGTAGCGGAAGTCAATGCTCAGAAACGGTTCAAAGGAGTGAGCTGTTCGATCTTCTTGGGACACCGAACACACAAAAACACACTGAGAGTCTCGAAGACCAGAGGCTGTTCTATGTTGGTGGCGGTGAAAGTATTGGGTTCAACAACTCGAGTAATAATGTAGTTCTAAGCAATACTTGGAGTCACATGGACTTGGCATTGGGTCCTCATCAGTCTAACTTGCCTGCTACAACAAATGGATATCAAACAGGAGCGTTAAATGCTCTTAATTTGGACGGAAACTTCGATGACGTAGATTTTGATTCTATCTTGGAAGATATGAACACTTTTTCTTATAGACCTCCAGTGCAAGCAGAAATTGAGCATGTCGAGCCAAATAGTATTTTACCAAGTAGTTGTTCGTCGGACCCTGTTGATACAACAAATCACGCTCAGATTACCCCGTGCAATAATAATAACTCAGCTACAATGGCTCGATCTTGTTCTTTAGAAAACATTCTGGAAGACATAAATAAAACGGCAACATGTATCGGTGCATCTCAAAACAGTCTGTTCGATGTCCTGAATTTGGACACAGTCACAGAAATTCACGAATCAATGGTTACAAATTGCAGTAATACAAATGAGCAAACGCCAAAACGGGGCCAAAATTTCCAAAACTTCGCCTCACCACATTGTAATCAGAGCGTTCCCGGGCATCAGGTGCAGAGGTCGCATTCACATACTGTCATCCAGCCTCATCATTTCGAGTCACGGCAAAGTTGCAGACAAAGGTTTACACCTCACCAGCATGCTGTTAACTATACAATCCCACCTCCTCAGACTCCTGAAAATGTCAGCCAAACTATCGATGGAAGCCATCGCAGTAGTATTGATCCGCGCGAGTTCTTTGGAAACTTCCCAAACTACTCTGGGGGTGACGTGATTAGCAAGAGTCCTAAACACAAGCGCTGGAAACTGAGTGTAATTGACCGCACATCGAGGAGTCCGTCTTTGGAAGACATACCTATGGCGTTTAATATGCCGCAAAAACTCAACCCACCCTCAGTATATTCAGTCCCATCCCCTTTGGCCATGAATACAGCTACTCCTGGCCTGTGTGCAGGTCCTCAAAAGCCAGCAAGTGCTAGTGGATCGGTTTCGGGCAGGCGTTCAGTTCGCTCCAAAACTTTTTCAAACCCAAGAATGAGGTCGGCATCGAATCCGAGCTCGGTTATTGTTTTCTCAGACGACGATGAAATTATCCATGAGAGTTCGATTGGTGGCATGTATGTATCTGGTGGCAGCGCTGCAAATAGAAGGTGCAATTCAGACGCCAGCAAGCGACATCATTACGACTCAATAGAAAGTCATCACGCTAGGGCGTCGCATCATTCTCTCGAGCATCATCGGGACCGAGCGTCCTCAGGACGACAGTCGGGCTTCTCGAGTTTCAACAGCAGAAGTAGCAGTTGTTCCTCTTCTAGCAATCCTCCGCCGCAAACTGAAAAACCAAACTCGGGACCTCCCATAAACATAAATATAAATGTCTTCAACTTAATTACGTCGGATGGCGGTGAAAACGTGGTCCCTGTGAAGCTTTCTGATGTCACCAGCAATGTGCTGAGTTCAGTGGTAACTGATCAAACAGAAACTGCTACTAAAATAGCGAAGTTATTCCAAGACAAAAACTCCTCGGCGGAACCACCAACAGGGACCTCAGCTGCCAGTTCTACATCTATTCCTAGGACACCAAGTGATCCATCGAAACCTACGCAGCACGGGCACATAGGAGTACCGAATCAGTCGGTCATAGCTGACGATCATGACTATTTGCGACAATTCGTAAGTGCTTTTTGTCATATTAAAGTTGATAACTGGTTGTTTAAAATTATCTGCGGTTGCATTTTTAGAAAGCTTTTGACATGTATAGTGTGTAGGTCTTTAGTTTTTTTCCTGTGAGCATTAATGTATCTTTTTAAGTGTTCGTTTTGCTTGGTAGCTTCAACTGAGGTTTGCTTGGGAATTTTGCGCAAAATGCGAAGCGGACTTTTGATATTGGATTTTGGTTGTTGTTTAGATTGCCCCTGAGGATAGTCAAGAGAAGTTCAAGTGCAACGTCTTGGTAAGTTCTGGAGTTGTTTGATAGCATTAACGTTTTCTCATTGTATCGAATTACACATTGCGGATTGTAAAGTACTGCACCTTGTGCACGGATAAATAAAACAGCATGTCCGAATTGTTTAGGGTTTATCATACGGGCAGCTTCTATTGAAATAGTTTGGACTCAATAAAAGTTTATAGCTTGAATTTTAATAATTGTTTCCTAAGGTAAAATTATGACGCTCCCAAGTTATTACATTAATGGCATGACATGAAATATCATGGCACTGGCTTAATCTGAAACAGGCTACTCAGTGATAGAATCCAGCTACCCGAGACTTTGACAAATATTTGGGTAATAAGCAGAAGAGCAAACTCATGTTGTTGTTGGCTGACATATCGAATTAACGACATGAGTGTCTCTGAAAGCCTTTTACCGTTTGAAAAATATCTTAAAAATAATAATCAGCATACTCTACAGTTGGTAACTCCCGGGGGTCGAAAATTACCGGGGGAAGGGGAGAGGGTTGGACATTTTTGAAGGGAGGGGTCAATGTTTAAGATCATTTATCCACGAGGGATAGGACCAACATACGAGCTGTACAGCTCATCACGGCGAACCGCTGTTGTGCCCCTGCTCTAATGTTCTACGGGGGTGTAGTCTAGGAAGAAGCCGATTGTGTTGCGGGGGGTCCCTACAATTTAGTACTGCAGAGTAGGGGAGAGAGAAATGAAAAGTCCCTAAGGTCACATTCTTAAACTGTTCAGTTAATTAGAAGAAGGAATTTGGTGAGTAGCGGAGATGCAAAAAGAATATCGAATTGTTCTGCTGTCAGAATCCCAATTGTGGTCGTTGCACGAGGGTTATAAATTAATTCCCGTCCCAGAAAAATACCCAAAAATGTGAAATAGACGTTATCACGGGCAATGCAGCAAGTCGTCGTAAACGGAGGAATACCTTGTATGTTGGTCCTTTCCGTTGCGTTCATTTGAAAAATGGTGGACAAAACAAAGATATTCACTTAGTGAAAAAATTTTTTTTTAGCAAATCAGTAATTTGCATGTTCGCTTTACTGTAAAAACGTGCGACTTAATTTTAGAGGGCCTAATTTTGTCCTTGGTGAATTTAAGGTAAAAATTTCACATAGGACCAAAGGTCTTATAAAGTAATTTATTAATACGACTCTATAATTAACTACTGCGTCTGTAATTTTTAGTGAGACTCTGCATAGTGACTAGTTTGTTTGTTGTAGGGCTGTTTCAAGTCGTACGAGAGCAAGGGGAATCTGATGCGACATATGCAGGACAAGCACGCCAACTACACCTTCAGATGTCCCAAGTGTCCCAAACAGTTCCCGAGGGCGGGAAACCTGAAGACGCACATGTGCACCACACACAAGATAGTACACTTCTACCTCTGCGCTGTACCACGTAAGTTGCTGACCCGTCGCTGATTTTATTTTAAAGGTGAATTTCGACACTGGGATTTTGCACAACAAAAGACACCTTACAAAGTTGTTGAACTCCAAATAAAGGAAGTCGACACTCGCAAAATTGAATTGCTAGTTTAAAACTTGCGGCACTTTTTGCTCGGTTGGGCTTACATTTAGGAAAATGATGTTTTGCGAATTGAACGGTGCTTGCCGTTGATAAAGATTGTTGTTGAAGTTCAGGTGATTAATTATTGGGTCTACTTTTTCTTGTCGTAGATCATCCGATAGTTTGTGTGTGGTCTTTTTTTCTCGTAGTCTGTTATTGCGAGTTGCCGATTCTTAAACATTTTCCCCGCCTGAATCGTCTTTGTGTAATTGGGTAACATTGTCTGTAATATTATTTGTCGAGAATATATTTTAGACATTGGTTGCGATCATTGGCACTTACTTTTTGAAACGCCTAAAAGTAGTAAAAACGGGATGCATCCAAAGCAGTATGCTTTAAAAATTTTACACTATTATTGCCTTGATAATATTGAGCAATTTCAGCTTGACCTGAAATTGATACAAGGAATTGCATCAGAATGCTCCCCTCTATCTTAGAGAATCATTGCTTTTGAACGTTTTAAGACTCTCTTTGATTGAACGTTTTAAACCTTTGATTCGGCGTGACCATGAAAGTGATTTCTAGTCAGGTTATCAGACTAGCCCTTTATATTGAATTGATTGCTTTATTTGTTATAACTAAATAAGTGTTCAGTTTGAAGTTTTTGAAGGGAGGTGATGGTTTTGATCTCAAATTGATTATTATTGAATATTGAGGTTTTAACAGGTTGGGCGTTTGTTGACCAAATATTTACTGGTCATCTTCATTCGACCCCAAGAGTCTCTTTAGACACTGCTAAGTAGTTAGACTTTTATTCTCAATAAAGAAGTTTGACCAGCTACAAAAGAGCTTTTCAAATTCATGCAGAGGTTTATGACTAGTCATGTCATGGTATATCTCGTCACGTATCTTTTCGGCAGAACTCTTAGAAAAATTTTTTAGAAGCTATTTGCTTGCTAACCAGGTTTTTTTTCAGTTTGCGGAATGAAGAATTTTAATGAGTTTTCCCTTGTCAATAAAAGTTCAGCAGTTTTACAAGGTTTCATCAAAATGAGGATGTTTGAACTAGTTTTAAATTCAGTTTGTTTTTTAGAGTTGGTTAGATTTTTGATTAGTGATCAAAATTGTTTAAACAACTAGATATTAGAATCTATACTGGGTTTCATTTGTAAACAAACTATTTGTCCTTGAGGATGTTTTAACTTAAGTATGTTCGTATGTTTTTGCACTTGGTTGTGGGTCAGAATTGTTTAGTTGGAATGATGTTGTGTGGTGTTGTAGAATGCCAAGCTAACTTTGGGTGCGAGGAGGACTTGAAGGAGCACAGGAGGATGCACGTGATCAATGACACCTTCTACGTATGTCCTGTGACCACGTGCAACTTCAAGATCAGATTCAACGACAAGAGCGCCATGAAAATACATCTCCAAACAGCACACAGAGACAAGCTAGGTTAGCTAAAAAAAATTAACAGTTTTAGATAGTTATTCTTTTGTTCATTGGGACGATTCTTTGTGGTGGAATGTTAAAGTGTCAATTCGAGAAATGAAGACACTTATTTTGGTGATGTACTTTTCTGTTACTTTGTCAGGAATAAAATAAATTCATGTTGAAATTTGATTTTTTTTGCAGTTTGACTTTTGATTTTTTTAAAGATAAGCTCAAACTTATTTGCCAAAGTGAAGGAAAATTACGCACTATAATTACAAATGTGCAAATGGCTTGAAAGAACGTGAGTGGCTTCTAATTTCGGAAATGGATTTTAAATTTCAGAATATCCATAGAAATAAAAAAATGTCTATTTATCCCGTTTTCTCAATTAGTTAAGTTTAATTATTACCCTGGCGAAAGTAATTGATAATGACTTCTGCTTGTGTTTTGTCGGCTTAATGAAACGATTTTGCATCAGCTAAAAGGCAAAAAATGATTGTTTTTAATTTGAATTGCCACACTACAGATTTTTGTACGCTTTAAGCAGTTTTCATTTCAGTTTCAAGTGTCGTTTATTATCTTCTGTAGTTTTTATAATTGTCAAACCTGACTGGTATAGTTTTTTTTTCGTCAAAAATTTTTTTTTTAGTTCTAAATGATTTGTGCTCATGTTTCGTCGGTTTAGTGAAACGATTTTGCATCAGCTCAAAGGCAAAAAATGATTATTTTTAAATTGAATAAATCGGGTTGGTTGAAATAAATATGGAAAATTCAAACAATTTCATCGCTCAAAGATTTCTATGACATTTTTTTCCCATTTTCTTGTTATGGCAATTTTTTTTACAGTAAAACTTGAATTGTCGGACTTTCGTTTGCATGCTCAAGTTTTGACTATCACGGATTTTTCTTGTTCGATAAGCAACTTTCCTTGAAGTTACAAGTCAAGTGTTGCTTAATGTAGTTTCAGGGGGACTTGAAAAGTAAAACTGTCGGCTCAAAGATTGTCGGCTTATTTGTCTGATCTCCGTTTTTTGCAACTGTTACAAAATTATGAAATTTTTTTGGCTCAAGTTGTCTGCTCAAAGATTGTCGGCTTCATTTTCCCTGTTGTTATTTTAAAATTTAAATGTCTGGCAGCTTTACCTAAAATGAACTACTACTGAGAATCGCGAAAATGTAAATTTTGGTAGACTGTTTTTTCAACTTTTTTTTAAAATTTTTTCAACGCAAGGTATTCATGTTTGTGTGGTATCGCAAGTAATGCGAAGCTCCCCTTCGCCGCTGTGTAGAGCAATGAATTACTACAGTTTTTTCTTAGAAAATTGATAATTTTCAAAAAAGTTGCTATATTGTTAGGTCTTGTCTACTTGAGTTCGTTGCCACTTTTCCAACTCTGCAGGCTATGTTCGATGTCGGCGAAATCAGGGAAGTTAAGAAAAAAATTCCTGTTTGATCAAAACGGGTATTATGAAAATGTATGGGATTGAATTTTTTTAATTTTTATTTTGGAGACGCTTTGGAAAAAGTTTTCACTTTTTTCAAATGTAGTTTTTCTCGAAAACTACTCTACCGATTTTCAACTCCCCTGTGTGCCTGCATAATCCCTTAGTCTCTTTTTTTACCTTACTCCACTTTCTACAGCCTTCGAAACTTAAAAATTTTTCTCAAAAACTACCCTGTCAAATCTGAGATTTGAGTTTCAATCCGTACGGACGGGTTGTGGGGAGCTCCCTGCATTAGCGGTTACGCTCATATTTTTTCACACAAAAAGTTATGACCCTGAGAAAAGTCCGTTTTTTGAATTTTTTGATTTTTCCCAAAAAATTTGGGTTCAACGGATAGGACAGGTTGTGGTAAGCTCCCCTGCATAAGCGGCTACGCCCAAATTTTTTAAACAAAAACTTATGGCCCTCAAAATAATCAATTTTTTTTTCTTGTAACCATTTGATGAAGCTTTTAGACTTTTCTCGAAAAATATTCTCACAAATCTGAGATTTTAATTTCAATCGAACGAACGGTCTATGGGGAGATCCCTGCATTAGCGGTTACGCTCATATTTTTTCACACAAAATATTATGACCCTGAGAAAAGTCGAGTTTACGATTTTTCGAACGTTTTTTGAAACTTCTAGATTTTTCTGCCCTCCCAAATCTGAGGTTTTGATTTCAATGGGTAGAATAGGTTGTGGGAAGCTCTCCTTCATAGCCGTTACGCCCAACTTTATTTACTTAAAATGTTATGACCCTCGGATTTTTTTACTGTTTCTTGAAACTTTTGACTTCTCTCAAAAACCACCCTCCCGAATCTGAGATATTTGTTTCAGTGTGAAGAACGGGTTGTGGGAAGCTCCACTGTGTAAGTGTTTACGCCCTTTTTTAACACAAAAAGTTTTGAACCTCGAAAAAGTCAAATTTTTGATTTTTTTTGTTTTTGAAATTTTTTGACTATCTAGTGAGCAACGTTTTAAAGCAGCTTTCAACGTAATTAGCTCTTGTAATCACTTCAATTTTTCAGGAAATTAAAGTAATTGATGAAATTAACAGGTTTTGAAGTCATTAAATTGGGAATTACTTTTCTTTGCTATAGGTCTGTTTTTGAAATTACCCTTGTTCTTCCGCATCAATACAAAAATTTCAAAAATTACCAAACAGGTTTTTCCAGCTTTAGCTGGCCTCTAGTTTGCATTCGGCCTTTTTCTACTCGGCTTAAGTTTAGATACCACTTGTAAACGTCAGATAGAGTCGATTATTTAAGCATTGGTGAACGAAGTGATTTAGGTCGTTTTTTTTTCAAGAAAAGTATATTTTGTTCATGCTCAAATTTGGTTTTTCGCGGTTGAACTTAATCCATTTGCTAAATAAACGTTAAGTTTCCTTCTACAACGACAACTGCAATTAACGCGAAAAAATTGACCAATTTTCAGTTAAAATTTGCAGAATCCCCAGAAGAAAGCAATCAATAATTGACTCAGTTTTCTGCAATTGAGTTGGTGTATGTATAAAGTGTCGACCATGAAAGATTCATGAAATTCCAGAAGCTGTGAAGTGATATATTTAAAGCTCAGTTTTTTCGAAAATTTTATTGAATATATTTCTTCGAAAGTCGAAAAAATGTTAATCATTTGTGCCATAACGAGTGAATCATCCTTGCTCATTGATACGTTTCCATCTTTTTGTCGTCTGTGTTTTTTATCTAACTGATGCCCTTTCAGTCGTGGTTCGAGCTGCAATAAAGTTTCACGAAAATTACTGTCGAGAAGAACTGATTGAACAGTTTTGTAGACTAATTCAGTGCGAAGATATGTCCAAAAGTGGCTCCCTTCCCCTTGCAGCAAAAACGAGTAGAATTTGACTAAAATTTATTAAAATTTTTAAAAATAGATTTGATTTTTGTGTTTTTTATCTAACTGATGCCCTTTCAGTCGTGGTTCGAGCTGCAATAAAGTTTCACGAAAATTACTGTCGAGAAGAACTGATTGAACAGTTTTGTAGACTAATTCAGTGCGAAGATATGTCCAAAAGTGGCTCCCTTCCCCTTGCAGCAAAAACGAGTAGAATTTGACTAAAATTTATTAAAATTTTTAAAAATAGATTTGATTTTTTTGCAACGGTTTCTTGTTTTGATTAATATTTCTTGTCACAGAAAGTAATTGAAAATACATTAGTAAGCACATATATGATTTTAAATGCTGTTTTTGCTTGCTTTATTGGTTTTAAAAATGCATGCTTAAATTGTTTTTAGCCTCAATTTAAATGACGATGTTTGATTCAAAATAAATATGTCTGGAAAAATATATCTTTAATAGTCTTGAACGTGACGAATACTTGTATATAGGTCTTGGTGTTTTTTTTTCAGGAAAAAAAGTGAAAACTTAAGTTAAAATTGATTTTTCGCGGTTTGTTTTTTGATTTATTTTTAGTTCAATTCATTTAGTTTGTTAAAGGAAGGCAAACTCCGCTATCGAAGGCGCATGTGAAAAGTTCACATAAAACGTGATCGACTTCTAATTTCGAAAGTTGAATTTTATTTACAAATTTCCCAGTGGAATAAAAAATACATATTGATCCATTTTTCTCAACTTATTTTATCAGGAAAGTGTCAACCAAAAATTAATTTTGAGATTCAATGAGCTTTAAAGCCATATATTTTTGAAATTTGATTTGGATCTACTTAATAATCTCCCCCCCCCCCCTTCAAGAAAGGGGGGAGATTCTTAAGTAGATACAATCTCCCCCCTTTCAAGAAGGGGGGGAGATATTCTTTAGTAGATACCATAGGGGGCGGGGGGGAGAGATTGTTAAGTTATTAAGTAAATCCTTTGATTTTTTCAATTATTTTTCAGTATGTTTTTTCTAATTCCTTGCTTCATGACTCCATAAAGCAACTCCTTTTCCAGTGGTCTGTTGGCTATATTTGTTTATTCCACAGGAAGTTGCTTGTCAAAGTTTTATCGCATCAAGTTTCGTTTAGATGGGTTCCGAGTGGAAGATCTGGACAGACTGCTTCAGAACCTCACCATGCATCACTTGGTCAACGGAAGACTCATTCCAGTGCAGTCATAGCACAGCTGACGTCCACGAAACGAACAGACGCAACATTCTAGAATGATCTAGAATAATCTCCTACTCTTTCGTGTCATTATCTGCCCTTGTTTTGTGCATGCTTTATCGTGTCTCCCGGGTCGAAAGATCAAGTGGTCGAGTCATTCATTCCTTGTATATGAAATAGCTGCTCTAAAAAGTGGCAGTTTATCTCGTTATCCTGTTGCAATAAAACGGTGCTCTCAAAAGATTTCAGCGCCAGGAACTGAAAGGGATCAAGCTTCAACCATGTGGGTCAGAAAACTCAGATCAGAAGATAGGCTTCATTGTCGTTAGGACAGGCGAAAAAATGAGACAAAACTGAAAAAACTCATGAAGTGCCAAATTTGAGATGAATAATTGATGACGCGATGTTTCTGAAGCGACAAAAAGGGCAAAATGGAGTAAAGTAAAATGTGTATAATGTTATGCTAACCTGTTTGCGCTGCGCTAGTTAATATTCTCGGCACAAATTATTTTTGATATGTAAAGTCTTCTGCAATATTTATAGTTCTAGTTTTCTATTCTGTTATATTGAATCAAACTTGGCAATTAGTAATTTTTTGAACAATTTTTAAAATTCTTAACTTGATGTACAATAAGAGCTCTGCTTGCTCTGGTCTCGAATAGGGCGTTAGATTTTAAAGAAGGTGTTCAAAAATTTGATCAAAGAAACAGTTTATAGTAGTGTTCTAATCCAGCTGTTATTGATTCTAAAAAGGCAGGAAACGATAAATTGTGTCATTTCGATGTTGCTACTAGGTTAGTTTTTGCCGTTTAGAAATTGCTGTGCGATATTAGTTGGTAGTTGCTGATGATTTATTTATGAATTCGAGCATTAATTTGTACTTGACCCAAATAGTAAATACAATTTAATTTAACTTTTATAGTTTGAATGGTATAGTTAAGCAATAATCGCAAAACTGGAACTTCGACGCTAATTGAAGCTAAATGAGTTTAAAATTGAAATTATTACGAAACCTTTAATATACACGTACAGAACGGACAACAGAAACAACCGACCGCAACATCGCTTAAATATAACTGCTACCCGCTTCGCGATATTCTAAGAGCATGAAAATGAATGGTTTACGAAGGGTCATATCTTGATTACAGTTAATTGCATTAGTTTGGGCATGAGCTTTTGGAAAGGAGATTTAGTTGCCAGTGTGCACTAAATTAAGAAGTAGTTTTCGATGAAACTTTCATTGAGCGAAGTGAGTTTTCTGTTACTTAGGTCGATTTTTTTCATTTTTTTTTTCATCACAAAAATGTTATAAAATTGTTCACGATCAACCAATTCAAAGAGTTGACATAAAATTCCCCCGAAGGTCAATTTAATTTCATTTGCTAAACCGAATGCAAATGATCGCCTGCAATTACAAAAGGACAAGTGGCGGAACAAAGCTGTCGAATTTGTGTTATAATTACGAAACTATCTACTGGGGATTGACCTAGCAAATTGAATAAAAAATAGCATTTACTTCTTCTCGAGAATTGAATTGAGTCAGTAGCTGTTTCTAGTAACCATCAAAAAGGTCCGGTCTAAAAAAGTATCGAAAATTTTTCAATATCAAAGGATCTACCACCAGCGAGCTTTCGGAACTTAGCAGTTCATTAACGTAGGTAGCAGGTAATTGTTGAAGAGCAGGTAATTGTTGAAGAGCATTTACCTGCTCCGTTAATTGCTGACTTTTTTTTTAGGAAAATTAAATTTGTTCACCTTGTGATTTCTTAAGTTCAGTGCAATTCCATTGTAAACAGGAAGGCTAAATCCACTATCGAACAGCAAAAAAGTAAAGGTCACGAAAATGTAATCGACTTTAAATTCGAAAATGGAAATTAATTATCAGATATCCCAGTGAAATAAAATTTTTGCCTATTGATCGAGTTTTCTCAAATTGGGTTGATTGAAAACAAAAAAAGTGTCAATCATAAGTTTTTCTACAAATTCAAAGAGCTTTAAGGCCATCTATTTTTTTCTTCGAAAATCAAAAGTTGAAGATTTTTGAGAAAAACTTTAGTTTTTGTTTCAGTTTCATTGAGTTCATTTCTCTTTTCCAACTGTCAGGTGGCTATGTTTTAAGAGGTTCTACTACATTTTAGAAAAATCTGATCTATTTTTGTTTCGTTCTGTCCTTTACCCTTGAATGACAAGAAAGGAAACAGAAAACACTAGTGTCTTAAATTATCCGTAAGGATGATTTTGTTTGCCATAAATTTTTGAAAAATAATTGTTCCCATTTTTTTGACAGTCAATCTCTTCGGTTGGACTGAATTAGTTTAATGAAATTTTGTTTAGCTTTTCATTTTAGTGTGCTGTAGAGTTATACTTGAAATTTAAGTGATAGAGCAAGTGTCGAAAAGATTATCAAAAAAGTGTCGATCATAAATTGTTCGAACAGTGGCGAAATTTAAAAAAACAGGCCAAAAAAGGCGTTTTTAGGCACTTTTTGGAATTTTGACCAAAAAAAGCGTTTTTTTTTGGCGCGCGCTCCCCCGCAGAATTAATTATATTGGCGAAAAGTTTTAAGATTTGTCAGCCAAAAATGGATGCCGTAAAGTTATACCAAAGGGAGAATCTTTGGAAAAATTTGGCAACCAGAGTTGAGGCAGGGGTGGTCGCCCCCCTCCCCCCGGCACGCTACTGGTTCGAAGAAATTTAAGGGCATATATGTTTTCTTTGAAACTCAAAATTTCACTTATGATTTTTTTGCAATTATTGACATTTTCTAACTACTTTTTGGCTATGTTTGTGATTTTTCTTTCGGTTTACAGAAATCATTTTTTGAGGCATTATTTCTATTTATAGAAAACAAGATTTTGGGTTTTGATATATTGAAATTGTTGCGAAAAATCGGCGTAGAAGCTGAAACTTAGTCTAAATAGTCTCTTCAGCGTGTATTGGTACAATTACTTCTTTCTTCGATGCTTTATTGTTTTGATTATTAGTTGTCGCCCAACCATTTTTCCTTGTGCAGCAATTAATTATTTTAATACAATTTGTTTGTATATTGGCACAATTTTTGCCCAACTTTTTAAAAACATTTAGGCTTGCGATTAGCAGGCATCGTCAAATCGGAAAATAGATAGTTTAGATTAGCAACCAGCTTAACAAAATCACTGAATTGTGTGTGCAGCTATCATTTGTGCAGTATTCAATTTTGCAGCTCAAGTGCTCATTTTTTGAAAAGTAGAAATAAACTACTGGTTACCAAAATTAATCGACGGCTAATGCGGCCAGGGGCTGTTTTTTTTTCAACCGAAAGATTCCCATGTCAAAAAATTGTTGTCTTCATTGTCTCTGCTTTTTGTTTGTCGGCTTAGTGGCCACATTTTGTTTTATTTTTTTTGTAGTGAAAGTTATTTGAAAGCGTTTTTGATTTTTTCGTCTAATTTCTAAATTTATTAAATCTGATTTTGTATAGTTTTTTTGTTTGTTTTTTTTTCCTAAAAAACTTTTTGGTCCTTGATGGCCTCGGCTTATAATTTATAATAAGCTCAGTTTGCGTCTTTTGAAACAAAAAATAAGTTTTCATCTCCTTGTGTGTTTTCTGAGGGGGGAGGGCGTAACAATTCAGAATTTCAGATCTTACAGCTCAAAGTTTTTTATACTGGCGGTTGGGTTGTTGGACGTACTCTCAAAATTGAACGTCTTTTGAATCAAAAATTTGGAAAATTTATGTAGATGTCACTATTATTATATCAGCTTTTCTGATGTTATGCTATGTTTGATAAATTGTTCGAAGCTCCGCTTTGCCTCAGTTTAAAGTTTCTGTTTGGCTTTAGACAAAACTTTGGGCAAATTTTAAATCTTCAGTTATTTAATAGTAAAATCTTTTTGCTATTTTTCTGACTTTCGAATAAAGCAAAGGAATATTTGAACTCGGGATACTTTTTCTCGCTGACAATTTTGGCAGATTTTCAAAACCTCTAAAAAGAATTTATGTCCTAGGCTCAAATTTAAGTTGTATTTCACCTGTAATCAATTTTCATGATGTTGCGGGGTTTTAAAAAAGCCAATTTGGCAAACTTGGGACAATCAACGTGTGATACATTTCGTTCTATTACGCATAAGCGACAAAAAAAGCCGGCTTTGAAATTGAATTGAGCAGCCCGGCAATTTTGCCGAATTCTTTTGTTGTTATAAGGAGCATCTATAGCTTTGTTTTTTCTATGGCTTGTGAGGGAATGATGTTTTTATAATCTCGAAAAAAATCCTATTTTTTTTCGGAAATTTCACCCTTTTTTCAAATTGAAAACTGTTTCTGAGATTTTACAGGGCTGTCGGAACATTAAAAGCTTGCTCGTGACAAGTGCAATTTTGTTGTTTTTTGGGTTGATTTGATTCAATTTTCGATTTTTACCATGAATCTTATAATTTTTCAGATTTGCCAGAGCAAGTGTCTTGTAATCAGGAACTAGAGGTTTTCCCGTGAACAATTTTTCTCAAAAATTTTTGAGAAATTGAAATTGCTCTATTAGTGAACCTAAGCATTTCCGATTCTCCTTCCCACTTCTATTAGAGTTAAAAGAGTTGCTTTTGTACTCTAAGATTTGAGGTTCGAGTCCCGGCCTGACCAGTATGAATGAAAATGAAAGTTTTTTCAGAGAAAAATTGAATTGTCGAATTTCCGTTTGCCTGCTTATGTTTTGTCGGCTTATGCGCTAAGTCTGGAAAATTCCTGGTGCTGTTAGCAATTTTCATCTTAGATGCAAGTGTTTTTGATTTACCTTTGTAATTTATAGACTTAATAGCCCTGACATTGTATATTTTCCTTGGTTTTCCTTTTTGTTTATTTTTCGTTTGAAAAATTTTTCGGCCTAAACAGTTTCAAATTATGTTTGATTGGTTTATTTATCTTATTTCGTGTCGCTTCAAGAGCAACAAATAACTTTTTTGACCGCTATTTCTTATGGCATTTTTTCCGACTCAATGGGCGTCTACTGTTTTTTTTTGTCGTCCTCATGGTCGCTCGGTAAAAAGTAAAAGCTTTTTTTTAAACTAGTGGCTGTGTTTTTCGACTGTAAAGTTTTTGCTCTAAAGTTAATTTAATTTTCTAACATTTTTTTTCATTTTTTTTATTTCCATTTCATTTTTATTCGCTAGCTGGCAATACTGAGCTTGCATTGTATTGCAAGTGATGCGAAGCTCCGCTTCACCTCTGTGTTATAATTAAAACACCAAATTATCTTCATTTTACTGTTGAACTTTTTGATTGTAGCTTTTCAACGATCGGTTAGCTTTTACATGCGAAGGGTTACTCGTAGTCTCTGTGAAATCATTTTCTTCACCAATTATAAAATTACAAACCATTAAAGCCAATGCGCTGACGTACAGAAGTGGTTTTCATGACTGAACAAACTTATATTTTTCGGTTTTACGTTTCTTAATGAAAAGTATTGTAGTAACTACACTGAGAAAATAAACCAAATTGATCAGCTCGGCTGAAGTATGATTTGGCGTTTTTGTTATTAATTTAGTACACTTATTTTCCACTTGTGAACTGAGCAAAATATGAGATGAGAAAATAAAAACCTAAAATACCTGAGTTGTATTTTTATCAGCCTTGGTTTTCGATTCCACCTTGTTTCGCGCTCGATAATCTATTGGTTATTCTTAAAAATTATTTAAAAAATTTAAATTCTTTACTTTTATAAGAAATTGGCGCCACAATGTACTACATAGAATAGTGAGTTAATATATATAATTTTTCTTGTTTTTACTTCTTAACTTTGAGTGAGCACGGTTGCGCCATGAAAATCGAAAACGTTTTTGCCTGAATTTTATGGTGAATTAATAAAAATTTCATTGCACAAATAACTGATTGAAAAGTAAATGCAAGATGGTTTTATGTTTTCAAGAATCACCGGGATTTAGGGGGAGGGAATCTAGTTTTTGGAACCTTTTTGAAAAAAAACTATAATCTATCTATTGTGAAGAAAAGTTAACGAATTTCAGTCGACGAGTTTTCAAGAGTTCGGTTTGTTTTCAGTGTCATCGCTCTGCCATTCAGCCTTGATCAGGTAACGATCAGTGACTAATTCTGATTGTTGTCGTGTATACTAAATAAAACATACTTAATCAAGTTATCAGAAACAGGCCAGTTCGCATGCCGTTTGCATTGCATATCCCAAATTGTATTTTCAAAAACGTGTCGGTATGGAGGAATAGTGTGGGAAAACTCAAGTTAGCTTCAAAATTAAGCAAAATACTACACATTTGCTGATATAAATACCCCCCCCCCCCTTTGCCCGCTAAGGTTTATGCAACTTATAGCAACCAAATGGCCTTGTCCTTCAGATTGACGGTCTTTTTATGAGATCATTTCCAGAACTGATCTCTTGCATAATCTGAAGTTAACATAAAAATTGGTGGGTCAAATTGAGGTGCATTCCATTTTTTCCATTTTGAAGGTGCGAGCTGAACAAATACACTAAAAATTACTAAAGTAAAGTAAACTACGCGAACTGTTTTGAAGACAATAATGATCGTTCAAAAACGTGTGATGTGCCAATTGGGGTGAACTAACTTCTAATTTAACAAAAAAATTTATGACACTAAAAGGCCAGTGCCAACTGAGATAACACATGATCTTTTAAGATTTCCCCCGGGAACCCTTATTAGGTTTTTTCCGTTTTTGAAGCAATGACTGAAGCATTATCGTTTGAACAAACCGAAATTATGATTTTTTCTGATAAAACATTTGAGAAAAATGGTGTCTTTAATATTGTTGAATTTGAATTTGGACTTTGAATTCAATTATCCAAAAAAATTACACTAATACAGAAATTAACTGAATTTATTTATTCTCTGGAAAAGTTGTTGAAAAAGCCTTTCAGCTCATCGCCAACCGCCCCGGAAAGATGAAACAAAAGGACACGTAGAATGGTAGGCTACTGATCGTGGTGTATTACCCTTGCGATAAGCAAGGTTGCTCAACCGGGTATATTGATTTTTTTCCTTAAATAACTTTGTTCGCAGGATAACTAAAAATGGTGTAATCTCCATTTCTACAATTTCGTCAACTAACCGACAAAATTTGAACATTTGCATTTTGAAAACCCCGTTTCATGCGACGTTTTTTTGTTGGTTGTAATTTGTGGCTCCGATTTCAGTATATCGGTTTCGTACAGTTTTTTCAGCCTAAAAACTTCATAAGTTCAAGTCGTTGGACGAGCAAACATTTTTCAGTTTTTATTTTTTTGTATGATTTTTTCCGGCTCAAAGTATGTCATGTCGCCTATTGTCGGCTTTGTTACGGCTTTCTTAATTTGATTATGACGCTCAAGGATAATTAAATAGTCTCACCTGGCATACTTGAGTTGTATTGCAAGTGATGCGAAGCTTCATTTTGCATCTGTGTTTGAAATTCCTTCGTAATTCGTAGTAAGGCATTGGTAAGTAGCAAACGGCGAGTGGCATACAAAAAATGTAATAAAAGCTATTATTGTTGACTGAAGATAATTTGATCTTCAAAAAAAATCAGATCAGGCCTCTTCTAGAGCCAATCATAGACTTCGTTTTTGTTCACGTTTCGCAAACTTTTGACTTTACAGGCGGGTTTGGTATTGAGAAAGTTGAACTTTTTAGTTTTCATCTGTTATAATTTTTTTCGGCTTTACAACTAGGTTAATAAAATCAGTTAAATCACATATGATGCTGCTATGAACCTGACTGGCTCAAGTTCATGAAAATTCAAATATAACTACTGGGTGGTTAGTAGTTTCTACAGGGTTGTATCAGGCAGGACTTGCAACTTTTAAAAAAAAAATTACACAATCAGTTTTTTTTGGCTCAACTGGTGTCTGATCAAAGATTTTCGGCCTTGTTTTCGCTTGGTAAGTTTTTTTCAATTGCTAGTTTGAACTTCAAATATCCTGCTTGAGATGTTTGCCCAACTCTTGTTTGTGGTCTCAATGGAGGTTACGGGTAGTGAGAAACTCTCCTGCATTTGAGGCCTCTCACAAATTTTTCACGCAAAAAGTTATTGTCCTCCGAAAAGTCAATTTCTTGATGTTTTGAGCGTTTTTTTTCTAAATTTTGACTTAATTTGAGATTGTGCGTTCAATTCAAAGAACAGTTTGTCGAAGCTCATTTGCATGCGCGACTACGCCCAAATTACTTTGACGCAAAAATTTATGGCCCTCGAAAGATCAAAAAAAAAATTTGACCGTTTTTGAATTTTTTTTTCGAGAACCACCCTGCCAAACTATGTTTTTTGGCTCAATCGAAAATACAGCTTGGTGAGTCTCTTCTGCATAAGCGCCCAATTTCCGTAAACCAAAAAGCTATGATTCTCGGAAATTTCATTTTTCTGATTTGTTGATAGTTTTTTTGGACTTTTCACGATAACTATCCGAAGTTATCTATAACTATCTATTAGCCATCGATAAGTTTAATCAACACAACAGAATGTTGGAAGCTTACCTTTATATTTTGGTACACCCAGTTTTTTTAAAAAGTTATGGCCTTCAAACAAACGAAAATTTTGAATTTTTGGCCGTTTTTTTGGATTTTTTGTTAATCTACTCGAAAACGAATCTACACTCCAATTTTCAGTTAATTGTTCAATCAAGAAACTTGATTCCGGGAATCTTCTCTAGGTTACCAGAGACGGCCTGCATCTGGCAGAAAAAGTTGCGAATTTCGGAAAGTCAAGTTTTTGAGCTTCGACCGTTTTTTAGAATTGTTTGAATTGTGTCAAAGCTACCCTGTAAAATCTGAGATAGTATAATGTTTTGATTTAATTGAAGGGGGAGTGTAGTGGAGACTGTGTAAACATATCTATATTATGCTAATACGTAAATAGTTACCCTTATCAAGGTCATCGCTCTAGTTAGCGTTTATGTTCACTTATCGCCAGTTGATTATCTTGCTTTTTGATAATGAGCTACGTTGTTATGTGACCACGAGATTACTTCCACAGTCTTGAAACAATTTTTCTTCAAAAAATCATTGAATCAAAAGAATTAATCAACTTTTAAAAACTATCAGAGCGTTTGCTGATTTAATGTGATTCTATGTTAAAGAGCTTGGTTAAAACACATGCTGGCATATCAATTTAAAAATGCTTAATTGAGCCAATTAGCTACTACAGTAATTTAAATTAGACCTATATGTTTTTTTTTCAGGACAGGTCAGTAGATGACAAATTTTTTGAAATATTCATTACTCACAAGGCATTAAAAGTGGGGATCGGTTGATCGACTGCGCTTACATTGAGCACGAGTGATATTACGCGCGTGAGTATCTGTAGGCCAGGTTAATCTAGATTTTTTGAATTGTCTCCAAATAAAATTGACTGTTTCATATATGAGTGAATTTTTGTTGACTTTCTTGCTTTTTTAGCCCAGACTTTTTTAGGCGGAGCCCGATTTGTCGTAATATAAGACTGTCTAATATTGTTCAAAACTAAAATTCAAACTGTTACTTTTTTCCTATTTGTGTTGCAAAAAATTGGTTCCGTAAAAGAACCCAAGAAGTAAAAATTTCCCTTAAAACAACTAGAAAATCTCATGGCTTAACATCTGTTTTGGTAATCGATTTCATCATCTGATCTGTCTCATAGAACTCAGTAGCGACAATGAGTTGTATCTCTAATATACCAACCAAAGTAAATGCTATCAGCAGAACTATTAATTAATAAACTGGTGTACTGCAGCTTGATCTTCGTTCAATCAGATTTCTCTAAGCAGAATATTTTCATTGAAGGCACAATCAATCAAAACAGTGGCTTGATATTTGTTTGCTATTTTCTCGCTTTTTATAAACAAAAATATGCATCCCGCATTGTCAAAACTAAGATTGCAATAAATTATCGCAAGTAAAATCTACAGTTCAGCAATCTAATTTTTTCAATGCTTTAAGTAATGGATTTTTATTTGCTATTACAATCCATTGCAAGGGGCCTAGGAAATTAGACGATAAGCAAATTAGACGGATACTACAAAAACGAAATTAGACGGAATTTTTTTTTACAGATCTGGCATTTTAGACGAAAAAGCTATGAAAAGGAAAGGGCCAACAAAATTTTTTCTTAAGAGTCAAGTTTCACAAATACAAAAAGAACATAAAATGTCAATACGTATCAAAACAATTAGTTCAAATGCACATACAATGTCAAATCTGAATCTTACAGGAGAGTTTTGAATTGAATAAATTATTCATGATTGACTTGTAAAGTTTTTGGCCACCGAAATTGAACTGTTGTCTACAAACAATTTTATTTTTCTAACGCAATTTGTGTGCAAACAAAGTTAATTTCTCTCACTTTCGTCTATTTTCTCACAATTGCAGTTTTGCAAAACCGTCTAATTTCTTTTTAAGTACCTCCGTCTAATTTGCTTATCGTCTAATTTATCAACCCCCCCATTGCAATTTATAATTATTTTAATCAATTCGATAGCCACAACAGCCACATACAATCGACTTTTGACTACTAAATCTGTACAAAAATCGATTATAATCGATTGTAATCTTAGTTTTGCCTATGCGGGATCTCTCTAAATATGATACTTGGAGTTATGTGTTTGTTTTTAGTACCGAGTGGGTTATTTGTGGTCTCAGCTGCAGTTCAGCAAACAAGAGACGGGTGGGGGCAGTGGGGTGGAGTTTGTGGAGCAGAGGATCCTCACTGATCCAGAACCGGGCAAATTCACCCATCGCATTTACTACCTCGAAAAGTACACATCAATTCTAGAAAAAGTGTTACACCCATAATGTTTTCGTAGTTTTTTCTGCGGCCAAGTCGAGCGACGATACTTGCAGTCAGTCTAACCAGTAAACGCATTTCTAACCAGTAAATTTAGAAGTATTATTTAACTGCTTCATCAACTTCCCACTTTTGGTTACAGTCCACCATCAACTTAAGTGTCAAGTTTTTTGAAGTATGTTAATTGATTGGATCCTGTTCCTAAATCCGCCTCCTTTGTTCTTTTGATTTCTTCAAAAATTCAAGATCTGTTTTTATATTTATTGAATTTTGTTAACTTTTCAGAAAATTTCCTAAAATCGTGACTTCAATCTTGCCAAACAAATACTTCAGAGTGACAGAAAAGTCAGAGTCATTTCGAAATTTCACTGAGTCGAAGTATTCGGTGAGTACTGACGTAGTCTATATCTTAATTTAATTACCAAAATTTTTTTCATTTTCTCTTTTTTAGCATGACAGCATATCAGATGAGAAGTTTTCAATAACATTAACTTCAACGTCAGCCGAATCACATAAGCAAAATGTAATTTTTCAGCAATTATCTATTTTCAGTTAAAATTCAATGCATATATGCAAATAAAATAGTGAGTCACAAATGACTTTATCAATTTTAAACCAAATTATTATTTAAAAATAACAGTTTAATTATAGTTTTTTTTATCATTTATACAGATTTTCAATTTGACAGAAGAACAGCTGAAGTCACGAAAATCGATCTTCGTAGACATCACGAAATGCTTCGACGAAAAAGTGAGTTCTAATTCTCTCTCAGTTCTGTTTCAGTCAAAATGTAAACGTACATAGGTATTCGGTAGAATAAATTGACGGGAGGTCGGTTGGCTTTTTTCTATCAATCATCTTGATTTTCGTAATGGGCTAACTTGGGTAAATAGCAAACCTGATTTTTTTTGGAAATCGTATTTTGATTACTTTTCGATAGTTTGAATGAAAAATATTTTTTTTGTCGGGGCTCGTCCCACTTTTCTCAAAATTACCGTACATTGTGTCTCCGAGGTAGTTTTCAAAGTAAAATTAAGGATTAAAAAGCCAAATAAATAGTAGCAAAGGTAGTTTTGAAAAATTTAGAAGACCAAAATGAGGAATGGTGGAGTTGTTTTGTTACTACGGATCGGAATGCATATCAGTTTTGACCACTAGCCAGAAATGCTAATTTGAGGCAGGAGCAGGCATTTCTTGTTTCAAAAGTTTTCAAAAAGTGCTCCAACATTTTCTTTATGAAGTTCTGAATAGTTTTTTGTGAAGGCTTCAAAGTCAACCAATCGACAAAAATTTAGGGCTCTTTTCCAGTTCCCCCCTTTCAAAATACCGAGTTTTATGTTTGTTTTACGTGTTATTACGGCTAAATGCGTGATGTTACGCTGTCAAGTATGAAGAACAAATCTGTTCACAGTTCTCGATTTGTTCAGCACGCCAAATTTCATTGCACTATGACAACGTTAAATAAGCTTTTCAAAATTGAATTTGAAAGGGGGGAACTGGAAAAGAGCCAAATTTAGCAGGAGTTATAATGTCGGAATATACAATTTTTTCGAGTATACTTTTTGAAAAAAAAAATCACTTGATTCACTGGGCAGCACGTGCACTCTATTCACGTGCTGACGTACTAAAATTCATCAAAGTTTAATTTATACTACCCGACTGCAGCCAATTCAATACATTTTAGGAAGTTTTATCTGTACTCTTGCTCTTGATATTGATAATAAATTTAAATTTCCTGGCTTCTCTGGCACAGTTGGCCTAGAGGTATCACGGAATTTTTGTAATTTTTTTAAATTTGAATTTGTTAAGTTTGGTACAATTATTCGGTACATCTTTGGTTTTATAAATTTTTGAGCTAACTTTAAATTTATTAGAGACAAATATGGAAGTTTTTATAATTGAATTTTTTCTAAAACTTGTCAATTTTTTGTATGACTAAATGGCATTCGTTTCATTTTGCCTGCTTGCTTGCAATGCTTTGTTAATGTGGTATTGAAATTGATGCAAAGCTTTGCTTCGCATTTGTGTAAAAACGTAAAAATTGTCTTTTTTGTTTTCCGAAATTAACTTTACTTCTTCACTTCATTCATATACTTTACTTCAAAGTTTTCTTGACGCCCGGGTCGAGATCCCGCTCAAAAACCGCTCAAGATATGAGCGGTTTGAGCGGTTTTTCAGCAAGATTTGAGCGGTTTGGGCGGTTTTTTTGGAAAAACCGCTCAAATCTTGCTTAAAAAACCGCTCAAAAACCGCTCATTTCTTGCGGTGATTTTTGAACGGTTTTTCAAGCAAGATTTGAGCGGTTTTAGAGCGGTTTTTGAGCGGTCTTATAAATAAAACCGATTAAAACCAACAAAAAGGCCTGGAAAGGTAATGTGACCCCGGGTTGACATCCCTAAACCGAAAATGCTTATTTTAAATTTCCCCACACCGAAAAAGCTTATCATACAATTGCCTGCATCAAATGTATGGAAAAATGTTAATCATACAATTTTCATACAATTTCAAAAAACCATTGAAAAAAGATTCAATCTAGTTTCTCCGGCTATTTGAACCAAATACAACAGTCTGGTGATGAAAAATAACTACGTTTATTCGAACGTAGGCTGCTAAGTTTTGCACTACCAAAATTCCCAATTTAAGGTTTCATGGAAAATAAAACAATTGGATTACGTAATTGATTCTTTGTGTGGTGAGGGGAACGAGTGATCAAAGGTTTACAAAATCAAGTTGCGAAATCACTGCAAGTTAAACTCATGCACTTTCATTTTTATCTCGTATCAAAACTCCTCTTTTGAGCAGGATTACGAAGAGAGCGGTGACCCGACCAAGTTCGTCTCCGAGAGATTGAAGTTCGGACCCCTGCGAGGTTCTGATTGGGTCAGAGAGACAGACTGTCCCAATGTTCTTTATATCCACAAGATGTACTCTATCAATGTCGCCATGCCGGGTATAGGGCACGCAAAGCCAAAGATAATTGAGGTGAGTTTGACATTTATTAATAGCTCATTAACAGCGATCGGATTTAGATGTCAAATTCAACCTCGAAATATGTATGTCAGTTAAAGGATCGACAGAAAACTGAGTCATTTGCGCATATGAATATTTGTAAAAAAAAAATAGATTTTTGATGCATCCATGATGAAGTTTTTTTTGACGGGAAGATTTCTCAACTAGTTCGCAAAATTTTTCAATTGCTCTTCTACATTTCATAATTTTCAATTGATCTCATTTCGTGGTAAGCTTCTTACTTTTATCTCAGAATGTTCAATTAATCACAAAGCATAGACTTTTTATTTGAAAATTAAATTCAACTATGTCAAAACCTAAAACGCGCAATTTTGATTCTTTTTTTAAGAATATTCTGTCAATCCTGCTTAAAACAGTGAATAATTTCAATTTATGGACTCCGCTTAATCGTTTTTTTACGCAACGCAGTAGTTTTGTAAATTTTTGGCCGGAAATTATTTCTGAATTGTTTAAAAAAGAGTTTTCTTTACATATTTCATGCCCAATCTCCAAAATTTTGTCAAGAATTTTGAGATCTTTCAAAGATATCAAAAATTGACAAACCTGGGGTAGATGAATAATCAGGACAAGATGAAGTTTTTTTCACCATTTGCAAAAACTTAACCTCAATTCCAAGTTTGATGAGTGTCTGTAGCCAAAAACTTCTCTCATCTCGGTAATTGATTTTTTTTCACAGCAGCGAAGATCCCAATGTTTAATGATACAATTAATTCGATTAGTAATTTTAGCAATAGCGTGCTGAGGAGTTAGGGGTATAAAGTAGTAGACCATTCATTTGAATTTTTTGCAAAGGGTCATTTTGGTACTATTTCATTCACAACATACAACCAATCGGCCCCCATACGCACGTATTTTGCTCAGGGAAGGTTAAACTCAATCTTTTGGTTTGAAAAATTTTAAAAATATCAAAAATGCCATTTTACACAAAAAAAATTGCTTGCGGCGGAAAAAAAACGGATTTTTAAAGCTCGCCCTCCTCCATTTTCCCTCGCCGAGAAAACTTTGTAAAAACAGGCCAAAAAATGCTTTCTTTTGGCGCGTGCTACCCGCTCAAATACAGTGCCACTATACTAATTGACTTTACATTGACTCGGAAGTTTTTGACAGTTGATCAAATCCCTGAGAGAGAAATAACCACTCCCCCCCCCCCCCCCCCCCCCACCCTCCTCTAAATTTCTTACCGCCTCTCCACATGATTTGCATCCATTTGTAATTGCGTGTTGTGCGCGTTGTGTTGTCTAGACGTTGACGCGGATGATGTACAAGTTCTACCGACAGATGTTCTGCTGGACTGACGAGTGGCTGCATTACTCCATGCAGGACGTGGAAGAGCTGGAGAGAGTGGTCAAGATAGAACTCAAAAAAGTAGTGTCTTTCATGTTTTTTCATTTTTATTAGAATTTTTTTCATGAGTTGTCTCGCTAAATTGTCATGAAATTTGATGTGTTACTAAATTATTCAATGCTGGAGACGGTGGCTACGAAAGATCTCGGCGTTATTTTCTATGTTTTTTTTTTACAATTTTTCTTCGTTCAATTGTCATGATAATTGAGATGCAACCTAATTATTCAACTGCAAATACAATTAGTCTCCCTATAATTTAAGATCCAATTCAACAGTGATGGACTAAAATCATATCAACAATGGCGAATTGTATAAAAAGTAGAGCATTGATTTTTCAGTTGCGGAGTGACAAAGAAGCGAGAGGAATTTCATCTTGACGAAGGGAGACGAAGACTCTCTGATTTTGCATTGACTCGGTTTAATGTTTCTGAGCTCTGAGAACTTCTTGCACTAATTCTAAATCAAACTCTCTGATGTTATTAGACGTGAAAAATTGCACCTATTGAACTACCATCAAACCTGAAAAGTTTGAAAAAAATAATCAAGGTCCATATTGCCAAAAACTTCAGTTTTGTTCAGAACACTCAAAAAGTGAAAAAATTATTCTGGACTCAGGTGGTGTTTTTTCAGCGCAGAATCAGGCTCGTCGATAAATCATATGAACAGATTGAGTGATCTCGCATATTGGATTTCTTTTTAACTCGTAATTCTGATTCCAAAAATGCGTTTTTGATTGTTCTCAATATAATAGAAGTTATTTCTGAACTTCAATTTACTTTGAGTTGGCTGTCCAGCCTGAAGTAACTTCTATTATATTCAGAACAGAATCAGAAACACCAACTCAAAGTAAATTGAAATTCAAAAAGTCTCAAACGCAACGAAAACAGTATATTTTTAACCGATCGCAAAAAAACTGGGAATAAAAACTGAAAAATAAAAAAATTAACGATGAATTTTTTTTGCAGTGATTTTTTAAAACCTTGCGTTTTTGAATTGAAAAATGTGTATGCAAAGGTTTTAAAAAAAACTATATTTTTACTCCCATGGGTTATATAAAATAAAAAAAACGAACTATTTGGCGTCCGGTAATGCAATCATACGTGAACGGCGAATTGAATCATTCCAAAAGGAATTGAGGCTAACATTTTGGTTTAGTTATTGCGTTACCAGACGCCAAATCGATTGTTTTTTTTTATTTTACTTGACGCATTCGGCACGAACAAAATTGATATATTTTTCTTTGAAGATTTTATTTTCTACACATTTTTCAAACCAAAAGACTTTTCATCGCTGTAAAAGAGTAAATAAATAATTCAGGGCTCTTGCTAGATACGAGCAGTCTCGCTCAACTTTGTAATTAATATTTTGCCAGTAAAGGCAAGCTTGTGCAAAAGCGAGCGCAAGTATAAAAGCACTTAAGGGGAAAATTTATTTTTGATTTCGGAGTCATTTTTCGAATTTATACGAATTAAAATGATTTTCTTTTCATTACACAAAAAATTTTCTTAGCACGGTTTTTATTTGTTAGTGAAATTTTGAACCACGGCTTACACTTTGTTAATTTTGCGGGGGAAACCGCAATATACCAATGATCTAACCACAATGCACATACCGATTTAACTTTTTTGTTAAATCGTTAATCATGACGACAAATATTTTGGGTTTACATATTTAGCAGTCTAGAACGCTCGTATTATTACGAAGCGAAGTGGAAATTAAGTTGTTAATACTTGAGCACTGTTTAAGAACTGATGAAATATTTCGTAAACTGTAACACTCTTTTCGATTCAAAACGTCTTCCTCTAACTTACGTTGGAGGAGCAATGTTATCTTGTGACAAATTCGTTTTCGAATATAAATTACAGTTTTATTTATTTAGGCAAATGATGAGAAGCATTTTTAATGATTACTCCTGACTGAATACTGAATAAGACCGAATTATTTTTGAGTTACTTTCCTAGTTTTTTTTCTTTTTCGATTTTTACCTAAATGTGTAAGTACCCTTGCGATAAGCAAGGGTATTGCAACCGCGTACTAGAATTTTTCCCCTAAACAACTTTTTCCACAGAATTCGCACGTTATTTTGTTCGCATGTGTTTTACTGCAAAGGAAAATGTAGTATTTGCATGTAAGGTATGGGCCTTGTATGCCTGTTATGAGTTCCTTCAATAAAGTTTCGGTTTTTTTTCGGCACTTGAGTGTCGGCTTTATTTCCGTCGGCTCATTTTCCGAAGGTTTTTCTTTCAATTTTTTTTGTTGGTTTTTATCAGAATGGTTGAAATCTTACAAAATGTGTTGGACAAAGTTTAATCACATTCGCAGGCCCTTCCTAATAAAAAAGATTCGATTTTTGTTCAGAAATGTTTCAAATTTTTTCATTTTCATTTTCAGTTTGCACAATACATTTGATTTTAACCTTTTGAGCTTTTGTTTGCTCAATCAGCTGTTTTAATTATATTTTTTTGATGTAGGTAATTGAGTTCACGTGTTTTTGCATTTTTTTTTGTTTGTCAAGTTTTTCTACAACAATTGAAAATGTGTTCTCATTGCTTTTTAGCCCGTATTGGTTTGAAAAGTAGCCGCAACAACTGAAAAATGAACGAGAACCAAGCAGGCCTGAAATGCCAGCAAATCAGAATTAATTAGTTTCTGAATTGCTGAAATGTTATCAAATCAAAATTTTTTAATATCAATTTTTTTGATAACTTTGTTTAGAATAGCTTGACGAATTTGTCATTTTTCCTTTTTTTGATCGGTAATTAAAAAACTTTGTTTAATTTTTTCTCACGTTGAGTTAATTTTGAGCTGCTTTTGCACTATATTTTTCTAAAGAATAGTTCAATGTCTTGTCTTTTTCTTTAATATTTGGTAAACTTTAATAAACCATTTTTTTCTGTCAACTTATTGTTCTTGTCTTATCGCATTTTCTTTTTTTTTTGGGAATGAATGTCGAAGTTTTTTTAGCTGTTCAAAATCATTTGATTTTTGTAGCAATGTCTAGTCCTAGTTCTTGTGTTTTCTATATTTCAATAGTTTTTTTCTGATCTATTTATTGTTGAACAAAAAAATAAATTTTAAGTTTTTGAATTGTGGAAATGATTTTCGAAAATGTTTGCGAATTATGTCATTGTCACTAATGTTGTGTTTTTGTTTGAATTGTTTTCAGGTTTTCAGATCACGTTCATGGTGTTTTTTAATTAATTTGTCTAGACTTCTGAAAAATTGAAAAACTTTGTTCGGTATCTATAAGTCTTTTAACTCTGGTTCACTTTTAAATAAGTAATTAGTGGTTTTTGGTTCTTTCATCAATCCAATTTACCAGTGGTTCGATCGCGTGTCTTCGGAAGACATCGATGTATAGCAGGCAGGTTTAAAAAGCAAAATGGACGATGGCTGATTTTGTTGCTGATATATTTTTAAAAAATATATATTTTTACAACAATTTTGTAATCTGATTTTTAATATTTTTTTCTTGAATTACAATTTTTTCATCACAATTTTAAATCTTAAGAAAAATGAGTTTTTCTTCCTCAAATTTTTTTTCGATGATAGGGGAAAAAATTCCGCGCTTTCTGCGAAAAGAAGCAGTTAATAATCAAGACAAAGGGGAAAGAAAGGTTAATAATCAAGACGGGTAAAAAGAAAAAATTTTTATGGTTTTGTTTTACTTTTTAAAAAAGCCAAAAAAAGAACGGTATCATTGGGATTTCTTCAATTTCACTATAAAGGTGTAAAGTTGCTTTCTCAAAAAGGTTTTTGTTTCTATTGGGAGAATTTCTACTGAAAACTTCTCATCAAATTCAAAAAAGTGCACAAGTTTTTGCTGTAATCCCAGTTAATACGCTGGATACAAACGAAGGACCAAAGTAACTACGCAGAAACGAAGTGTATCTTTTTCTCTGTTACGGAAAAAAAAATTTTATAGATGATTGAATCAGAAAATTGTTACCATGGAAAAAACTGAAAACAAACTTTTTTTTAGGAAAAAAAAACAAATTAACTTACTTGAACTGCTTGAAATGCCTCAAGCGGAATTAGACGGATTGAAAGTTGAACAGGGACAGAAATAAAATTTAAAAATTAAAGAGATCTCTACGGCCAAAAACTGATGAGTTAGAAGTTTTCATAGAACGTTTGAAATTTAAACCAACAGTAATTTGTCTCACTTAGACGTGATTATCTGAAAAAAAAAGTCTAAAATCAAACTAGGTTTAAAAGGCTACTAAAGAATGAAGGACTGCTCTCGCTCCAAAAGGGGTAGAGGGGTGGCTCTTTATGTACAAAACTGAGCCAAAACATTTGCAAAATAAGAAACCAAGGACAACTCGATATAAATCATGTCAGGCAGTTTTGCAAATATTCAAATAAAAAAAAACATTCGTACCATATGTCTACATACCAACAAAATCTGTCCAGGGTAAAATTGCTAACAAATTTGAAAACCAGCTTGACAGTATCCTTATTGGCCCGGCAGATGAGCCTAGTGATTGTGGCTAGTTCAACAAAGATTTCTACAAAATTTGAAGTAAAAAAACTAAGTTGGCATAATAATGCAAGGAAGCAACCTCTTCTGGAGAAACCAAAATGAGCCAACAATTGAAAAGTAAGTTTGTGAATCTTCAAACGGAATTTTGTGGCAAAAATATGTGGCGAAAATTGGCGTCTTAAAACAAAAAATTACGATCTGTTTTTCAAATCCAAAAATCTCAATTAAAAAATTAAAACTGACTTATTTGATTATTTTTTCAAAAATTCTGTACAAAAACTTCTCAAGAACTTGAATTCACCAAACAATACAACCGAACACGGCATAAAATAAACAAACGAGACTCTACCGAAAAACTCACCTTTTTTGTACAACACGAGCTACATAAGAACTGGAATGATTTTCATACATCAAAAATAAGTGTAAATCAAACTGCTATGACATCAATTGTGTTTTTGTAAATCACATAAACGAGTTACTTGCTAACCTAATTGAAATAATTTTTGAAGAATGTGTTGAAAAGGAATTTTTTACAAATGCTTAAAAATCGCAAAAATTGTACCAATTTATAAAAGTGAAGGAAAAAAGATCGTGAAAATTTTAGACTAAATTTTTTTTGCCAGTTATTTTGAAACTTTTTAAAGGACTAACTTACAATAGCATGAGCCAGTTTTTTCAAAAATTTGAACGGCTGTCACATAGACGAGTGGGATTTCGGTAAAAACGAAGAACAACAGATGCAATTAAATTACTCAAGAAAAATAGAAAATTTGAAATAAAAAGAGCACATTTTTCAGATTTAAAAAAAAAGCAAATAATATTGTTAATAATTCTATTTTACTTCAAAAACTCGATGACATGGGCTTCCGATGACCTGTAAACAAGATTTTTAAATCGTACTAATCAGATCGTACGCAGTATAAAGAATCCGAAAATACAAATTTTCATTTTTTGAATGTGAAGGTGCAGTACCGCAAGGCTCAACTATAGGTCCATTGCTTTTCATAGTATATGTAAGTGATTTGTCTGTCAACGTAAGCACTAGCCAAATTAACCTACATCTTTATGCGGACAAAACAATCAATAAAACAAGTGAAACATGCCTACAACTAACAAAGGTACATCAAGCAGTCTTGGATGAGGCCAACAAAAAGATGTGCAAAAACAACAAACTGTGCGAAAAAAATAGAAATCAAATTTGGAAAAATTAGTAGCCTGGAAAGACTGTATTTCTTTGAATAACAAAAAAATTGTACAAATGCAATTTTTTAGATAGCTAAGAGAACATATAGACTCAAAAGTTGATTTTTCACGCTTTTTGGAAAAAAAATATCGAACAAATTGATCCAATTTTGCGGAATGCTCCATAAATTGCACAAGTACTTGGAGCCGGTCAAACTGGTCCAGACATATAAAATATACGTTCAACCGACTTCACAATACAGGATATTTTCGTACGCCAATTCAGACATAACATCAATCAAGCCACTTGAGGTTAAATATAAAGAAAAATCGTAATTTTTGTTTCGTTAAAAGAGAAAAAATTTAATAAGGGAACTACGCGTAAAATTTTCAATTTTCTCACTAACAGTTGTTCGCATACCAAATTCTGAAAAGATTAACAAAACTCATTCGGAAGGGCCCGTTTATAAGAGCCGTTTTAGAAGAGCCCGCTGATTCACACGCGCACGCCGTCATCTGAAACTGTTCAAAAAGATTTTTTCTTGATCATCCCGCACACAACCACATGATGAACCTTGAAAAAACACCAAAATCATAAGAGATCTCTTTAAAAAATAAGGCAAGCGTTTAACCTAGTTACAACAGTTTTTCCAATTTGGCCAGAGTTCGTCAAAATAGCAACAAAAATTCAAACGAACTTTTTTAACCATTATTTTCTAAAAATTTTAATCTTGGATAATAGGGCGATTCCCGATTTTTTAATTGTTTAAAAATCCAAGGAAATGACTTCATATAGGTAAATTGTTCCGTTTTTTTTTAGAATGTTTTACATTCGATTTCAGTAACTTGATCAAAAAAATTTGAATTTCGAGCAGCTGCATATTTTGCTGTGCGCGCCTAATGCTAGATTCGCTTTTTTTTTGCTTGCGGCGCTTGAAAACAGACCGTAAGGTCTAATAGCGTGCTCCCAATCTAATTTCAGCCAATAATTTTGCTAAATTTTGTGTCGTATTGCTCACTCTATTTTAATTATTAGGTTTTTTTCAGCAAAATGTATTTGTTGATTGATAATAAAAAAAATAACTTTTTTTGGTCAACATTTGGTCAGCTATTTTTGGTTCATTCAAACATTTCGGTAATATGTGGTCATTTGGTCCATTCAAATATTCTAGTATTTAGTTTGGGGAACTTCTATTTTATCCTGGGACTTCAGTCGCAAGCAAGCTGAGAGTCTTCGTTCAGTAAAATAAATAGCTGTAAAACAGCCAAAAAATGTGTTAGTATTGAACGAAACCAGTAGACGAGGTAAAATAATTTTGCGATCCGAACACACTGTGTTGCTTGTGTAGGATTATTCCTCTTTCATTAATAAATTTTCTACTTTGAAAAAATATTCAATCTGATACATGAGAGGAATACACGTCAAATTCGTAGTATATTTGAAGTCAAAAATCGGGCTGAAATGGAATTTTTGATGTGATTTTTATTTTTTTCATAATCAGTCCAAAAGTCTATGGATACAATGAGCCACATAGGGATGCCATTTCATGGCTGTCCATGAGAGCAGCTGTTCCAGGTCCAGGGCTGAACTTCAACGACATGCTGGCGTATTTAGTTGTCGAAGATTTTTTCTCTTTTCGGTAGCAATCAACTGCTGCTTCGAAACTTTCAAAAACTCTCAGTCTTAAAAGCAAGTTGTCGCCGCTGATAGATTCGAAGAACTTTTTAACGTTCGGCTTCGCTCGAATAAAATAGAAAAAGGTCCCACGTGATTCGTAATACTCCTTTGCTGTCGCTAGTCCATGAAAAACCGAATAATCCATCTGGCATATGTTATGTAGATCTACGACACATAGTTTTGGACTTGGTTTTCCGGCTGAAAACCGTTCGTCAGAGTTGTAATAATCCCATTTCTCCACAAAATAGTCGAGCAAAGCTTCGGCGGCGGGAAAGTTGAGGCCGTGATCGAATCTCACAATCAGCAATCGTCCATTTCTGAACTCTTCGATTTCTGGGTTAGGCTTAGACATTGGGATTAGTACAAAAGCCAGCGAGGAAAATATACCCAAAAGTAAAGCCAGTTCGGGTGAAAAAATCAAAGCCGCCAAAATGGTTATCAAAATCACAGCGAAATCATGCTTTTGAACCCTGAGTGTTCGTTTCACAGTTTGAACGTCGATGCTGAAAATAACCGAGGCGATAATCACAGCCGAAAGGCAAGATTCCGGTATGTATTTCAAACTAGTCGACGCGAACATGACGATCAAAACAACGAAAGCTGACGAAAACAAACCCGAAAGAGGCGTCGCGACGTTGCAATGGGAGTTTACAGCCGTTCGGGATATACTGGCGGCAATAGGGAAGCTCTTGAAAAACGAGGCGGCGACATTTGCGACACCAAACGCGAGAAACTCTTGCGTAACGTCAATTCTATACTCGTTTTTCCGTCCGAATGATTTTGCGACTGCAATCGTGAACAACATGGCGAGCAGTGGCACTGTCACCAAACCGAACTGGGAACTGTGGAACATTTCGTCGAAAGAGAGAGTCTTATTTTTAATTTCGTCCTTAACGAAAAACGGCAGAGGTTGTTTTTTGGTCAAAATTTGACTATCCAGACCACTTTTGACCAATGTCAAGTTAAGAATTTCACCTCCAAAAACGTAGACAATTAAGATTCCAATTGCTAAAACAATGACATTCGACATCAAACTAGAAATCCCCAGCACTTTAAGCCCGAAAATTCGGAAAAAACTGGCATCGTAGTTTTTCTGCTGCCAAATTTTCCTGGTGGCCAAAAACCGCAGGGCAAAGAGAATAATGAGGGAAAAAAGTCCCATTGAGAAATCAGACCAATTGATGCTGTCGATGTATTTGAATATTTGGAACAATTTGACGATACTTCGGTCCGAGCAATCAAATGTCAGTCCTAAGAAATGTTTAGTTTGGCTGATTATTATTGTGAGCGATGTTGCAGAAATGAATGCGCTTAAAACTGTTGGTGAAACGTAGTTCACCAGCGAGCTCATTTGTAGCACACCAAATAGGATCTCGATTACGCCAGTGTAGAATGTTAGGAACCTCGCGTAATCAGGACACCCCATCACAGTGTAGATCTTCATTAGTAAGGCCACGGCAGCTGTAGAGCCAATGTTGAGATCTTTGGCGGTTCCAAGAAAGGCGTAAACAATGTTTCCGATAATCGAGGCACCTAACGGGTACTCCGGGTCTAACCCGGAAATACTTGACAAGGCAATACAGTAAGGCACAGTGGTCAAGGCAACAGTTAGCCCAGCCACCAAATCTCGACTGAACTTATTTAAGCTATAATCCATCACATTGTTGATAATCGGCAGGCGTTTCTTAGGAGACAAAAATTGAAAGTTTGAAGGTAGCATTGAGCGAATTGAGGACAGTGATGATTGGTCGGAGCTGATAGCGCGTTCTGATTGGTGCAGACCAGACCCATGTGATTCAGACTTAGAATTGTGTTCCAAATTTTGAGCCTCGGGGAAATTTATGGACATGGAGGTCGTGGGTTCCATGCTTCTAAACTTCCGAGAAAATAAAAGTTGTTTTGAAATTCAAAAAATTATTCGTCTTTGCGAATGAAGACCTTAAAAGGTTCAGCTAACTGGTGTGCTCTTAAGCAAAAAGATCGAATACAACAATGAAACAAATTTATGAAATTTAACTTGTCCTAATGTTTATTAAACTTCAACCTTTGTGATTTGTTATTTAATATCAGAGCTAAAACTAATAATTTGGTTGACATCGATCGCATTTCATATTTACGCGGTTGTGAAGTTTTTGACCTTCGACTAAAGCAAAAATTTGGAAGATAAATTGTAAAGTTTATTTTGACATTTGAGTGTAACATTGATTAGATAACTATGCAAATTGAAGAATTTCGAGGTTCATTTGAGCATAAGTTTTCTCGTCGGTAAACAGAAAAATCCTAATATTTTAAACTATCTTATAAATCTCAAAAAAAAGAAAAGGGCATGAATTTTTGTCGTTACACTCGTTAATGATCAAATATTAACTTCACAACAGTAAATACCAGGGTTACAAGGTGCTGTTATAATTTCATTTCAAACTCGAACAGTTTAAATTTAGTCGCAAATGCAAAAAAAAAACCAAAGAGAACCTCGAATGGACGAAAAACAGTTTCCTTAATTTTGGGCTGTTGACAATTGCGAGAGCAAGCAAGTGTCTTTTAATCCGAACTAAAAGTTTTCTCCGTAGACAACTTTTCTTACAAATCTGTGAGAAATTGAACTTGGTTTATTTTTGAACCTTAACAACGTCCAGGCTTCTTCCCACTCCACTTTGTCTTGAGGTAACACTGTGCCTTTGTACCCTAAGTTCCGGGTTTTGAGTCCCTGTCGGACCTTTTTTCAGTATGCATGAAATCAAAAGTTTTCCAGGGAAAAATGAATTGGCGAATTTTGTTTGTCTGTTTAATTTTTATTGGCTTAATTTTTTACGCAAGGATTACTTTTTTAAAATTGAGCAGTTATATTATAATTGACAATCGCCCTGTTAGTTTCAATCTTTCAATGCAGATTTTGAATAAGTTTATAAATGCAATTTGTTTCGATTAAACTTGTTGGCGTTTCTGTTAACGTATAATGATATATGTTTTTTGATTTAGTCAGTTTATTTTGTGTCGTGCAAAGAAGTTAAATTTGACTGTTATTTGAAAAAAGAAAACAGTTTGATTGTGGTGTAAAGATGAATCTTTTACCATTATATTGCTCAAATGTTCCTATAACGACAATTTCTGAAGGCGTTTTTTTTGTTTCGGCGGCTCAGTAGGCGACTTGTTATAAATTTTTTATTGCTGATGGTTGAGTTTCTCGGCCAATTTTCTGAAATTGCATTTTCGACTTAGTTATTTCTATTTTAACTTCTAATCACTAGCTTGCAATGGTATGCTTGCTTTGTATCGCAAGGTATGCTTGCTTTGTATCACAAGCCGGTATGTATCTAAATCAAGTCGACAAAAAAGAAAACAAACTAGTAATGATAGAGGCTCCAACTTGACATAGTGACTCGTTGCATATTTTGATAATCAAACCGTTTTTGAGCACATGGGTTTTCTCGATTGCTGGAAGGCCACTTCGCAAATGATCAGAATTCTTTCGTATTATATTAAAGGAGAAAAATTCAGTCATTTTGTTCAAGATATTAGCCTAGTTACGCAACCGAAATTCGATCGAAACTTTTGTTGTACTGTCTGAGACCGCCTCAATTTGAATTTGGAATGAATTTTATCTGAAACTGGAAGCAATTGGACAAATTTGGTTTTTAGTTGATGAAAGCTTTGATGTGAAATAGAAGAGTCGTATTTTTTAATGCATAGAAGAAGACAAATAGAATAAATTTTTCAGTTAATCTAGCAGTCTATTTGCAGCTAGGGAGTTTTATTTACCTAGCTCAATATTTCAATTTCAAAAAGGGGAAAAACCAATGTTGCGTTGTCGATACGAAAAAATAAAAAAAAACATTGTGTTGCCATCTAAGTAAAATTATACCATGTATTATACAGATATTACGTTTTAAATGAAAATTTAATTTATTTCTCTGAGTTATTGCCTAACATTCAGATCACTTTTAAAACTGAACGCCTTGTTCTTTTTTATGCCATTTGTTTTTTTATTGAATTGCGTAATTCGCCCTCCGTCTGACAAAAAATTTAAATGTACACCTAAGACGCAACTGAAAGTGAATCCATAAAATTGAAAATTGAGTATAACAATTTCTCAAATTTTTAGCTGCAGAACTTGCACAAACAGTTTCATCTACAATCATTTCAGTGCTTTTTTGTATGAGAATTCAAAAGCTTCTCTATAAATTCCTGAATAAATTTGAACGCCGATACGATGCCACTAAGCCGATATATATATAGCCGATATAGCAGTCTTGTTATAGGACAAAAACCTCGTATTTAAGACGTAAAAATGAAGTTTTATACCAGTAAAACCAGTTTTTTAAATTTATTTCAACGCGTTCTTGAGAATAAAATTTGACAATAGTGCTAATTTAAATTATCCAGAAGAAATTTTTAAAATCTCAAAACGAATTTTCTCGGGTTTATTTCAGACAAAAAAATGATGAGTACAAAACTTGCACAAAATGTTAACAGAACTAATATGGTCAAATTCTTTTTGTGAATTTAGGGCCCAGAACTTCACCCTAAAAACTATCATTTTTGGTTTTTTAGTCAATCGTAAGTTACGCGAAAACTATGGGTTCAATTGCTGACATAAACATTTTAAACTTATCCTGTTTTGTAGCCAAAGGAAAAACATTTAAGTTTTTTCAAATCATTTTTCATTTTTTTTCTAAATGAAATATTTGGTAATTTAGATGTAAAAATGACACTTTTGGCTATTAATTTAGAACAAGTTTATTTCTGCAAAAATTAGAAGATTATAAAATTCTACATTTTGTTGGGCCACATAGCATGCTCATTTTGATATCACTTTCTCAAAATCGATTCGGTAGTTATGGTGAAACTTTTGATTGACTAAAAAGCCAAAATTGTTATTTTTAGGGTATAATTTTGGCTAATAAACTTGATCAGAATTTTCGGAAATTGATTGGGTAGTTTTGGTAAAATTTATGAGTGACAAAAAAGCCAAAAAAGATCCAAGTTCTGTCCTCACTGTTTGTCTAAAATCAACACAAATTGAGAAAAAACGTTTGAATTTTTGAGTTTTATTCGCAGCCTATACTTTTGTTAAATTAAATTCATCGAAAATAGAAAGGAAAACAATAAAGTTTAAAAAATGTTTCAAACTTTCACAAAGAATTTTTTTTTGATTATATACAGTGCTGTTTTAATTTATCTGGACAAAGCGAATAAAACTCAAAAATTCAAATTAAAACAGCACTGTATATAATCAAAAAAAAATTCTTCGTGAAAGTTTGAAACATTTTTTAAACTTTATTGTTTTCCTTTCTATTTTCGATGAATTTAATTTAACAAAAGTATAGGCTTTTGTTTAAGCCCCTACCACACTACGGACAAAAAATGACTCAATTTGAAAAAAAAACTGTTTTTGTTTTTTTTATTAATCGGAATGTCAACGGTCTACCCCTGTTTTTAAGTGTGGTTTCTGATTTATTGTGAAAAAACACCACGGAAAACTAAATTTTGGGAAGCGATCGGAAGAATGAACTTCACGCAGAGCCCGTTTTAGCAGTTAATACGTTATGCTTTTGAAAATTAGATGATTTTTGTAGTTTCTGCCCAATATTGCATGCAATTGCACTAGCACTAACTATTTACTATACTTCTACAAGTTCTTAATTCTGTTCCAATACCTTGTTTTAAAAACTGGAAAACATTGGAATATAGAGAATTTAAATTATCATCGGTCCTTTGTCACAAACACAAGACACGCAAACTGATCACGCACAGCATAATAGCCAGTGAAATTAGAATTGTTTAATAGTCTCTTCTTTGCAGTTTAGATTTTTCATCAGATATTTTCGGAGCAGCTCGGTCAAAACAAATTTCTTGTTTGTGCTTTCTGAAGGTTGGTTTTGGTTTATCTGTTGTTTTCTAAAAAGAAACACATCGGCAACTATTTCGCCTTCCCACGTCAAAATGCCACCCGTCACAATATTACTGTCGCCATACTTGTACGAGACGCCAAAAGAGTCGATGGACAACAACGAATGAAGTTCCAGCAATGAAACAAGAAACTGTGTATATTAGACGGCTTTCTGGTGCGGAATCAATCGTTCTGACCTTTCATTCTTCACTAGTCCCATGAAATCGTGAGCGGACTGGACTTTAAGTTTCGAATTAATGCATCATTAATTCCGACAGGCGAAGAAGAGAAATTGTATCGATCGTTGATATGGAAAAAAAACTGAAAACTTCTTTTTACGTACGTTGAAATCAACTGTAGTTCTAACGTCGTCGACGAATTCGTTGCTAAAAACCTCTTTCAACTTCTGCGTCGTTTCATAATCGCAACTGTCATTTTCTGTCTTTACACTGGAATTTTGCGGGCTACAAAAAAGAGGAGAATTTCTGACAATACAAACGATTAGAAGTGATTAGAAAGGGGATGTGGAACAATTCACAGCTGAAGGAACATCTAACATTGCAGATGTAAAAAATCTAGAAACCTAGTTTAAAAAAAAAACAAATGCCGCAATTTTGACCCAAAGTTTTAAGCATTTCAGCTACATATCAATTTTCCTTTGTTTTAAGGAGCTAACTGATTTTCTGAACCCTTTAAAAATATATACCTGTAAAGTTTTTGAAAACTCAGATGTTTGAAAAACTGATTTTTGAGGTGACAACTTTCCAAGAAAAATCCGTGTAAAAAACGAAAGCGAAAATCAAAGAACAAGGTTATTTATAAATTTTAAAAAATAATGCGTATCAGGGGTGTTTTTTCTCAAGGGGTCGTTTTTGACGCAAAAAATTCTATATTTGAGGTTCTGACGCGACGAAAAAACTCGTTTTCTTGTTCAAATCTAACAGGTTGCTTCGAAATATTGTTTTTGTCAAACTAAAAAATTCGAAACTCCTATTTCTATTTGACAATTCTAGTATTATCATTCAAAATACCCGTGAGCTGAATAGTTATACCTTCTTGCTGACCACCGTTTGCGTATATTGTTCAAATATTTGCTCAATTCGCTGTGCCGTTTCTTCAAACTCTTGTTTACAGATGTGAGCCTGTCCAGTTTGAGATTTTCAGGTTGGTGCTTCAACGGTGGCCAATTTATTCGCTTGCATCTTCTTATCTCTCCATTCTGATAACCCAAAATTGAGCCACCAAGAGGTTGAGGAGTCGGTCTAACGCCGCTCTTCAATAGAAAGTCCATTTAAAGTGTTGTCAAACTTAAAATATACCTATTAAACATCTGAATCATGTCTTTTTTTCCGATAATTTTACGAGAAAACATAAGATGAAAATCATACCAGCAGGGGCGGATTTAGGGGGGGGGGGGCGGACGCCCCCCCCCCCCCCCTCAGGGATTCGACTCCCTGCCGACCCAAAAGGGTCACCCCTTTGTACTATTTTGAGATATCCAAATTTGGTGACGGACCCTAAAAATTTTCTAAAGGCGCCTTTGGCGCCAATATATACTTACTTTGAGGTGGGAGCGCGCGCCAAAAAACGCAATTTTTTTGGTCAAAATGTTCTAAAAAGTGCCCAAAAGTGCCGTTTTTGGCCTGTTTTTCAAAATTTTGCCTGCAGCGCCAGAAAATTTGACCAAAACAGGGTCTTTTTGATGCTTTGGGAGAGCTCGGAAAATCATTTCGGTCGACCTAAAAAAAAGGTCGACAAAATTTTCAAAAATTTTTTGAAATCCGCCCCCCCCCCCCCTCGAGAAAATCCTAGATCCGCCCCTGCATACCAGTCTTCAATAAGATTCTCAATGGCCAATTAAGCACATTACTTGTGACATGTAGTGTATATTCGATAATGAGGAATTTCCTTAAATCAAAGCGGCCTGTATTCTAAATGGGGGCGGCTATTTTGGGCGAAAACTATATGCGGCGAAAATAAAAGTGTTAAAATTAGGCGAACATTTTGATAAATACACGTAATATTATTCAAACAGCAAATCAACGGTAAAATAGTGACCGCTGCAGCCGCGCCAAGGAGGGTAGGACTCTTTTCGAAAATTAGACCCGGTTATCGCTGCGAAGAGGCGAGGCGCGCCCTGCGGCGACCTTGAACCGACAAAAATCTTTGTAGTCTTTAACCGCTCCTTGTCAATGGTTATATATTCCTCACTTTCTTCGAAAGTCGAAACAATAATTACAACAAGCATCAATTTTTGGCATCTTGAAATTTTTTAAAAGCTTATCGGCACTTCTGTACTTCGTCACTCTTAAACACACCTGAAACTTACAAACCTTAGAAGAAGTTTGATCAAGTGCAAAGCTTGTATGTTTTACCACAATTTGTGATTATAACGGACTTCTTCATTGCGAGGCCAAACTGTGCATTTTGTGAAATATAAGCGGATTCCGCAACAGGCAAACATCAGATTTGTCCCGGAATCCGCAAAACTGCTAGTTTTATTTGATCTTCTCTGCTGTTTTGGATTTCACGGACAAATAGCTAAAACACTGTATTGCTCAAAATTGCTCCAAAAACAGGCAACTTAGCAGAAATCCGAAACAAAATGTGTGGAATCCGGAACAAATTTGTGGAATCCACGACAAATAATATTATATGTGTTCAGTGAAATTAAGCTGTCGCGGAATCCGCAACTGTAATGGGAATCCACAAATTGTAAGCGGACTCCGCAAATTATAAGCGGAAACCGCATAAATTTGCGGAATCCCTTTACATTTGCGGAATCCGCTTACATTTGCGGAATCCGGAACAACTACCCATGTTTGCTCGTTGCGGACAAAATTTACGTTATAGGTCTTTGTACGCGGAATCCACTAAAATTTTGTAAATGGAATCCACTTACATTTTGAAACATGTTCTAAGACTTGTCTCTGGAATCCAGAAACATACAGACACAAAATTGTGCGCCTATCCAGTGCATAGTTTGGCCTCGTAATGTCGTATTGCGCGAAAGCGAAATTTCTCAGAACGGACTCGAGACTTCAACAATTTATCTCTCAATTTGAATGGATAAATCAAATATATTTATTTGAACCTAAGTTCGATGAAAAGTAGTAACATAAAATTCGAACCAAAAGAGAATTTAAAGTCAAATGGCAAAATTGAAATATGTACAATTAAAAATTATGCAGACAAATAAAATACATTATAAAACACGTTAAGGTTGATTACTAATTCAAAGTCCAAGTGATAAAAAAAATCAAGTTTAAGGGTGAAGCCTGAAACATGAAGCAAGCGATCACAGAATTTAATTCTTCAACTTCATTTTTCGAAAAAATAGACTACGAATTTGCGACTGAATAGAGGCTATTAGCGTATCTAATGAGTCTATTTCGCCTTGCCGTAGATAAATGTAGCCCCGACAACTAAACAAGTCCCAGTTACAAAAACAGGAGTTATATTGAAACTGAAAATAAACATTGAAACTATACACGAGATAATGATCGATATTGAAGTTGCGAACCCTTTGAGAATATTGTCTGCGTATTTAACGACACATGCTACTATAAGCCCTCCTACCGCTTGCGTCAAAATCAAAGCAACTGTATATTTGTTATACCCGTGAAAAAATCCCAATTCGTAAACTTCCGCGCCATCGTTGACAAACACAGTCACCAAACCAATTGACACTCCAAATAAAGCCAATTGGATATTTCTAATCCACACTGAAACGTCTGAATTCTTGAGAATTTTTTCGAAATATATTCCAGCAAAACCTGACGTTAAGCTTGCTACGATAACCGCTGAAAACCCTAAAATCGGATTCTGTTCGTCGCTTGAAATTAATTTTTCATTTTTTGCAACAGTCGTTTCTATTTGGACGGCTGCTACTCCGACGGCTAACATCAAAAGTGAGAACCATTTCGTCACCGAAAACCTTTGACTCAGCATTAAAACCGCGAACATAGCCGTTGTCAGAAGCTTACTTTGATACAGCACTTGGAAAGTCGCGGCTGGCAAGTTTGAAAGCGCAATGTAAAACATGTTGTTTAAAACTATGTAGAGAATCGCAGGCACCGAGACTCGAAGCGTGTCGCCAGGTGCTTTCAGGATGTTTTCATTCAGCTGTGAAAACAGTCCGCGGATTCCTCCCTCATTTACCAGGATTATAACTGCACTGCAAATAAGTTTGACCGCTTCTTGGCTGACAACAGCCGTAGTTGAGATGTACTTTTCTCCAGGAGCAGTTCGCGAGTATCTTCCGAGAAGGACCAAAACAGCGTTCTGAACTGCCAGGAACACGAGCGAAGAGTATCGCTTCCAATTAAGGTAGGGATCCGGTTCCTTAGAAGAAATCGCTTCTTTTTTTGTCAGAGGAAGCTGGCTTTTCATTTGGACCTTTTCGCGTTTTTGTTTGTGTTATGGTCAGGTTGTTGTGGTAGTCTTTTTTGAACACTACAGAAAGAGAACGAAAGAGTGTAACAAACTTACAATGAATAAAAGCTTATATCACGAACTTATAGTAGTTTAAAATCGAAAATGATGACCAAATATTTATGAGACTTTTAACAAAGTTAGCAACAATGCTTGAACGTGTTTGCTTTAGCAAATAAATTTTTAGCAATAAGTTGTTTGAATCAGTTATACAGTAGCTTGTAGAATAATCAGATAATTCATTTGATAAAATCTATGTTGAAATTTGTACCTTCTTACTATTTCATACGACCACAATTGAGTATTGAAGCAAAAATAAATGTATCAGTCTTTTTTCAAGGAGAGATCAGAACAAAATCTGGCTCATTAATAATCAATGAAAACTTTGCAGCCGTCGCAAAATAGACTAGTTAAAAATTAGAAAAAGGCAAGTCTTCGTCATAAAAGATAAAAAATAATTTGCACTTGCTCTTCTCAGCATGCACCACTCTTGCTATTTAATAAGTTAGAATTGTTCCCAATAAAGAATATTAATATTTAAATGAGTTCATTTCAATCAAGAGAAAAAAGCACGTGGCATATCTCAGACAAAATCATAATCGAACGCAAAACTTGAAACAAGATCACTTTAACATCCCTTTTCCCAAAACTGTTTCAGGAAAGAATCTGAACTTGGTTTTTATTTTGGAAATTAGAGCCAGCCATATTCAAGTATTCTAAACACATTGCTTAACAACTTTACGCCATTTTAAAATAATGCCGTGAAACATCTTAACTTGGTGTGTGGCGTCTGATGGCGCCGGCAATAAAAATAATTTTTGAAAAACAGCAGTAAGGCAAATAAACATCTGAAAAATTGGACAATTAACAACACAAAGAACAAATCGAACACCACTAACATACAAAAAAAACTTTTCAATAACATATAGTACTTGGGTTGGTATTTTCGATGAAAATCTACCAGCTGAAATTTTAAATTGATCATATTTGATCATACCAGAGGATAAGTTAATTGTCGTTAACATAAGCAGCAAAAACGGCGCAAAGCGCTCTAAAAATCAAGAAAATACAGAAGCACTACAAAAAATAAGCTTGAAAAAGGACCCGCGACAGTTGGAAACCATACTAATTGGTGTTACCTACACAAAGTCATTAAAACCAGGACCTAGGGGTGCTACTAAACAAAAACCTCAGCTGGCAGACTCACGTGGAAACGAGATTGAAGAAAGCTAATAATGTTTTCTATCTCCTGAAAAAACATATTTCCTACAAATTGAAAATATCATGTAAACTGGGCCTGTTAAAATATTTGCTCCTACCAGTTCTTACGTATGGTTTTCAGTGTGTTGCGCTCTCAAAATCTGAAAAATTCTGTAGTCTGGAAAAGAGTCTGGAAAATTTCCAAAAAAGAGCTCTGCGGTGGATAACTGAGACAAAAGATGCCAGTTACCTCAGTCAACTATAAATACTGAACTTAGTACTACTCCAAATGATTTTTCAGCTAAATGACATTTTTTTGGTTGCTAAAAAGAGTATTGAAACTGACTCTAATAAAATGTTACAAAATAAAAACAAAGTTTTGGGAAGAAACTTCGAGATGTTTAAACTAAGTAAACTAAAAAAAGAAAAGGCAAGAGGAGAAGTCACGTTTAGAATTTTTAGAGCAACAGACTGAATGAACTTGTGGATTTCACAAGATTGATGGGTTTGAAAAACAGAATTTTGAAGACGATGTGGAATTGCGTCAATGTGAACTTTTCAGAAGCTAACATCTGCAGCTGGCTAAATGTATGTGATTGCACTGGCTACAGAAACTCGAGGAGGAAATTATAGAGAACTCACTGGAATCAATTCCATCAGCAGTAGGTGTAAATTCTAATCAACAACAACAGGCTTATTTACTATTCCAATTGAAACCGATTTCTTATTCCGATAGGATATCTCCCAGATATCCAACAACTTCAAACCTTCGTATCATAAAATAACTTGAACCTTCCTATCTTAATTAGTACAGAGATACCAACGATTTTGTTATCGTAAGAGAGATTAACGAATTAGCGGGTTAGACTATTGGCGCCAAAGCCCAGTCGGCTAATCATGAAAATCGGTACTGATCAACACAGTTCCAAACTTAGAAAACCAAACCGACGAACGACAAATTCTTAATTTTGGCACCGAGGCAAAGCTGAGGTTTGCAGTAGGGATTCGAAAAAAGTTCGAAAACTGAAAATGAAAATCGAAATCGTAGAAAGAACCCAAACCTTCAAAAATACTTTCTATGGAAATTACGCCAAAAAAACAATAGCACTCAAACGATAGTCTAAAAAACAGGACCCGCCTGGATTGAAATCCTGGACTTTGTGGTCTGAAGCATTGGTGTTACCACTGCGCTAAAATCGCAGAAAGATCCTTGAATTCGAAAGAGATCCAGAAAATCGAGTAAACTTGTGTAACCACTAGGAGAAAAATTATAGTACCCTGTTGAAACACCCTGGCTGACTGCAAGATTGATCAGTTACCCGGATAGTTCATTAATTTTTGGTTATTTTCACTTCATAAACGTCATAAAACTTAAAATTTAGAAAACTCTGAATTCTGAGTTTTTAGCAAGAAAACATTTGAGCACGTGAAAACGTGAAAATAATTTTTTTTTAGAAAATACGACTATCATTTTGGATGAAAACTCACAAAGCATATTTGTCGAAACTTTCAGGCTTTTATGCCGTTTATGAAGCGAAAAAAAACAAAATTGAACGAAGTATAGAGAGAGAGAAAGAAAACACTTTGTCGCATAAACTTTTGCAGTTACAAACCTGATTGTCGATGGAACAAGTGTACATTATTATTGAATACGTGAAAAAAAAGTTTCATCAGTCACTGAATATATAAGAATCTCCTTAAGAAGAAAGGGGGAAGTTGGGTGTTGGTAGAGCCTACTCTTTGTATGTATTAGAATTTAGTCTCTAGTATGCATTTTTCAATTATTCTGTTTGATAGCGTACAGGTTTTCTTCAAGGACCTGATTTTTTGAATAAACAAGTTGAATTTTTATTGATGTAAATAGGAATGATCTACGAAGAAATTCGGTTTTACACAATCCTGGCAGGAGAATTCAGCCGGTGCGATGATTAAAGCGGAATCTAGAATTCGGAAACTGCAGGAGGTTGACTGCTCTAATTCTGTGTTGGCTTAATTTATGAAGATATTGTGTTGATCTGTATTTGATTACATCTCTAGCAGTCGGAATTCTGTGTTTTCCCTCATATATGTGACAGAATGTCTTATGTTTATGTTCATGACAATTCGTGTGCCCCATTTTATTTGCTTTTCCAGCTTGTCTAGATTTTTTTAGTACAACCATTCAAAAGCATGCATCGATAGTGAAAATGGTTTAGGACAAGGGCATTGAGTAAAAGGATTCTGGTTCGTAGAGGAAATTCATCTCTTATGCATTCGATTGTTTCGATTGCAGTAGCCATCTTCTGTAACACTTTGTTAATTTCTTTTTTAAAAGTTAAACATTCATTTACGTTAACACCGACAAACTTGACGGATTCAGATATTTTGACTTTGTATTTCCCACTTGCAGCTTGCAGTTTTCTTTGAGTTTCTTTCGTGATGGAGCAGGGAAAATGATGAATTGAGATTTATCTACCTTTATCATTAATTGGTTTAAAAGAAAACATGAGAGTATTCTTTGAAACTGATTTAATGATGTGTTGCGGACATTGGATTTGAATGGAAACTTAGCAGTGTTGTATCATCGGCATACTGTACATGAGTACATGACTTGTCTAGAATTTGTGGCATATCATTAACATATACGTTAAACAGCACAGGTTCTAGTACAGTACACTGAGGTACACCTTGCTCCAACTTAAGCCAATCTGATTATGCACCATTCACAATTGTTTGCTGCTGTCTGTTTTCTAGAAAAGAAATTACTAGATCAGTGGCTGATGGTTCACAACCAAGAATCCTCAATTTTTGTTCAAGGTCGGGATGTGAGAGTGAATCAAACGCTTTCGCGAGATCTTAAAATGCCGCTGCTACTACATTATATTTATCAAGATGGAATCTGATTTTTCTGTTGTGTACAGAAGAGTATCATTGGTCGAATAACCATGACTAAAATCAAATTGTTTGGGGTTTAGGACATCATTATCAAGCAAAAATTGATTTAGTTGAGCTGAAATTTTTTTTTCAAATACTTAAGAGACAACTGGTGGGTGTTATGGAAATTAGCCTGTAATTGATTGGATCGGCTGTATCTCCTTCTTTGAACACGGGAATAACATGCGCTTTTTTTCAAGCCTTGAGGAAATTCAGCTTTCGAGATACATTCGTTTATTATCGTAGTTAAAAAAGGGTTGATTATGTGCACACTGTCTTTCAGAACCCAAACAGGTATTTTACTAGGTCCTAAATGCTTATTGATTGGAAGCAATAAAATTGCTTCAAACATTTCTTTGTGAGTGACATATCTGAATTGAAAATTTTTGGTATCCGTTCTCAGAGCAGCAGGTTTGGTGGACATTGAAATTGGAGGATGAGTGTTTTTATAGACGCCTAAAGTTGAAAACTTGTAATTAAGCAAGTCAGCTTTCTTTTTTTAATCATTGATTAAATTACCAAATGAGTTCCGCAATTCATTTATCTGGATAGTTTGCTTCATTGTTTTTCTTATGGAGTTGAAAAAGTTCCATTGCATTTTGGGACTGTCAAGATTCTGAAAATGAGCTTTCATCTAAATCTTCTAAAAAAATTTAAGATGATTGTTATATCTATTTCTCGCGAGTTTAAAGGTTTCATAATTAAAAGCTGTTTGTGACGACTGGAAATTTCCTAGTGCAATTTCTTTTTTCAATCTCTGATTCGTCTATTGAGTTCATAACTTTTTTACATAATTGAAGTGGTGGTTCATTACGGACAAACTTCTTTTCAAAAGATGCGTTAATATTTGAAACCTCTGTGAATATTTGTTCGAACGTAAGTAACATATTTGAAACTGTTTGTTCTTGGTAGACAATAAACCAAGGGCTTTGGTTCAGGTTGTCACAAAATCAATTTTTTTTTTGTACTTTTTCTTGTTGAACCTCAAAATTCGAATCGGGACAGTTTTATCTGTTCTTTTGGCTTAACTAGTACACATTGTCATTAGATGGTCCATATTAAATGGTGCTTCAGCTACAAGAAGTTCCTACAACGAGAATTGTTTGTGATAACAGAATCCAAGATAGATCTGCTGTGCCGAGTAATATGCTGGCAACGTTTCATTTGCTATGGACAAATTATATGGTTCAATCAAATCGCTGAGAAATTTAGTTTTTGCTTTGTTCAGGTAATTGATGTTGAGATCTCCAAGGATAGTTAAATTCCTGGCTTCCAAAGCTACATAGTCAATACCTTCCAAAGTGTCTTCAAAAATAATTGTTTAAACTGATTTTGTGGATTGTAAGCAAGAGCTGTTACCTGCCTTTTTGATTGCTTTGATATGAATGGACTAATTTTTAACCAGATTCCTTCGAAGTGGGAGGGACGTAAGAAAATTAGGTCTTCCCGGATCTTAGGGTTAAAATTTTTTAGCATAAGTAGAAGTGTACCTCTCCTGCGTTTTGACCAGAGTATGTTTTATTTCCGCCACATCGGAAATTGATATGGGTTGACATACAGAACGATTAGGCGAAAAGATCGCATGTTTCATCCAACCAAGTTTCAGTGAGACCAATTAGAGTGTTTGAGTCAATAACTTCTGAAAGGAAGCGTATTTCAGCATGTTTTTTTAGGCTTCTGCAGTTTAAAGATAGAAACTTGATGTACTCATGGTGTTGTTTCGCAATACTTTTGAGGTTCTCATAAGACGTGACTGGGTTTGGGTTTACTTCGATGTCCCCGCATAGGAGGAGCAAGGTTTGCGACATTGCAATCTGAAAAAGGGATAAAAAATTGCACTATAGATACAAGCTGTGAACCTACCTTTGAGTTTAGATATCGATTTAGTAGGCGCCATATTTGGGCAGTTCACTGAAATATTGTGATTTGGTCTAATGTCGAAAATAAGGGAAAACATAAAGAGTCTTAAAAAAAATTACTGAACTTGACTTATAAACAAATAAACTCAATTTTCATTGGGCATATAACTGCTAAATCATCATTGGTATGGACAATATCTGTTACGTAAGTCATAATTATGACGATTGTTGTTTATATAATTATAAATTTGGTTTATTTGTGAAATTTGAATAACCATTTTCTCTATAGCCATAGCTCGTCACTCTCTCTGGGTTCTCGGTAACTGATTACCCTTGCTGTTAGCGAAGGTGTATAATTGATTCCCTTAAATATTACGTGTTAATTAGCTTTTTTATAATTTACAATTGAAGCACCCTTCTGCGCAATTTTACGCATCCACTTATTTGAAACACTCCGATCACTTGCTAGACATTTTTTCGATAAAACTAACTCAGTTTGAGAAAACTGGATCAATTTTTCGTGACTGCCACCTAAACACTTTTGCCGATCAACAGTGAGGTGTGCCTTCTTTGTAACAAAGGAAATTAAGTGAACGTAAAACGAATTTAAAGTCAAACCGCGAAAATTCAAGTTTGAGCCTTGAACACAATCATCGACTCTTAATAAGAAAGGAAATCAATGTGAAAACCATAGCTGACTCTTTTTCAACCTCGATCAATTTTGTACAGTTTGATTTTGGCTGGTTCTTATTCAGGGTCATTCGAGAAACTTAACATGGGAAAATTCAGATAAATCGGTGACACTAATGGTATAATGAATTTCAATGGTTCACAATTAAATGACTTTTACTCTATGAAATTTCCGATTCGAAGTGATTAGAGCTTCTTTCGAGCAGTTTGGTACATTTTAATACGCACAAAAATTAGCGGATTGAGTATCCTTTGCTATTGCAAAGGACTGTTTTTCCAAAATCTAACTAAACAATATTAAGGTCGCATTACGTATTTCCAATATTTGGTCTTTATGAAGTCTAAATAGTCGCAACTGAAAGGAGGTGAAATAAGATACTAAAATCGACCCATTTGTCTACCTAGTTTTGCGTGAAAGTAAAAAATACCCAAATCCAGCAACACCATCTTTCGCGGTGTGAAGCAAAATTCAGCAAGATAGCAATTATTTTTTATGGGCGGTCTTTTCAGTCATAAAAATCAAAGCTCAAAATAGAAAATCCGTACGGCAAAAACTTTTCAATCAATTAAAAACTTATGAGCCAAAGTTCAGGCTGAACTTCCAAGCTTTGTTTTCAATGCTGAACAACTTTTCAATACTGATTTCAAATTGGCTCACGAAAATTCCTGCTATTCGATTAATCGGCCATCAATGACTTCCTGGCCACATATTACATACCGAAAACTAGAACTCTGTCCACTATTTTGTATTGGGGAGTGCTATCTATGAAGCAGCAGAAAATCGACTTTGAACATGGAAATTGGAGCTCGTATGTCGACAGTTTTTTAACACCCCAGCAATCCAACAAAGCTTTGGGACCGCAGAAGTTTCGCGTCTGCAGCCAAGAATTGATAACTTGGCTTTACCTAGACTAATTCTTCAGTCATTTCTGCAATCGCATCAATATTTAAGTATTTTATACGAGAACTAAATTGTTTGACAAAAATTTAAACAAATGTTTTCGAGATAATCGTATACTCTGATGGAAATAGCACGTTCACACATTTTGCTCAAGCATGTAAGAATACGTATGGGTCTGTAATTATTAACATCAAGCTTCGATCTCTTTGAAACGAGCGTAGATAACTGCTTGTCAATAAGTTGGAAAACGATACCATTTGAAAGGAAAAATCAGTTAGATTTTTTCGAAGTGGGTACAGTTTCTGAATAGCAAGCTTTAACAATTAAGTTGTTAATTTCATTTAAGACAGAATAATTTATTCTGCATCGATAAAATAATTGACTCTACTTCCAAATCAGTAACAGGATAGTTGAACATCCACAAACTGGTCTCTTCGTACAGTGCTGATTCAAATAAACCGGACAAAACGCGTTAAACTTGAAAATTAAAACGCATTTTTCTCTAATTGCGTTGAGTTTAGACGAAAACTTATAAAGACAAAATTTGCTTAAAATTTTAGCAGAATTAATTTGGTGTAATTTGTCATTTTGGCTTTTCTTAGTTTATCAAAAATTACGCCGAAAATAACCAATCGATCTCAGACATAATTATATCAAAGTGAGCCCCATACGTAGCCCAACAAACTTTAGGAAGGGTATAATCTCCAGAATATTGTATAAGTTAATTTATTTTTGTTTGATAGACAAAAAAGGTCATTTTACTATATAAAATACCAACTTATTATTTAAAAACAATTTTTAAACAATTTGCAATTATTTTGGAGAAAATACCCTTCTTAAACTTTGTTGGGCTATGTAAGGGGCTCACTTTAATATAATTATGTCTGTGATCGACTGGGTATTTTCGGCGTAATTTTTGATTAACTAAGAAAAGCCAAAATGACCCATTTTTGGGGTAAAATTTCGGGCCCGAATTTCGCAAAACAAATTACAACATGTTAATTCTGCTAAAATTTTAAGCAAGTTTTGTCTTCATAAGTTTTCGCCTTAACTCAACCCAATTTGAGAAAAATGCGTTTTAAATTTCAAGTTTAACGCTGCGTTTTATATTTCAAGTTTAACGCGTTTTGTCCGGTTAATTTAAATCATCACTGTACAGTGCTGATTTAAATTAACCGGACAAAACGCGTTAAACTTGAAATTTAAAACGCTTTTTTCTCAAATTGTGTTTGAGTTTAGGTGAAAACTTATGAAGACAAAACTTGCTTAAAACTTTTGCAGAATTAATATGGTGCAATTTGTTTTGCAAAATTCGGGCCCAAAATTTTACCCCAAAAATGGGTCATTTTGGCTTTTCTTAGTTAATCAAAAATTACGCCAAAATAACCCAGTCGATCACAGATATAATTATATTAAAGTGAGCCGCTTACGTAGCTCAACAAACTTTAAGAAGGGTATATTCACCAAAACATTGTATAAGTTAATTTATTTTTGTTTGATAGACAAAAAAGGTCATTTTTACTATATAAAATACCAACTTTTTATTTAAAAACAATTTTTAAACAATTTGCAATTTTTTTTGGAGAAAATACCCTTCTTAAAATTTGTTGGGCTATGTAAGGGGCTCACTTTAATATAATTATGTCTGTGATCGACTGGGTTATTTTGGCGTAATTTTTGATTAACTAAGAAAAGCCAAAATGACCCATTTTTGGGGTAAAATTTTGGGCCCCAATTTTGCAAAACAAATTACACCATATTAATTCTGCAAAAATTTTAAGCAAGTTTTGTCTTCATAAGTTTTCACTTAAACTCAAACCAATTTGAGAAAAACGGGTTTTAAATTTCAAGTTTAACGCGTTTTGTCCGGTTAATTTAAATCAGCACTGTACCTTTGACGTGTTTTCGATGCTGGAATTTTACTGGCTAGGTTAATGCTAAGTGTCGAAAAAAAGTGATTGAATGCTCTATTCATTTCAACGTGAGAGGTTATAATTTCACCATTTGGTTTATTTAAGGATGGTATTTCACTTTGAGATTTATTTGTGCCTTGCACTTCATTTAATAGTGATTTAACTAACCTGCCTTGAGTTTAAACAGCTTACTCTGCTAAAATTGATTTTTACTCCTTTTACTTTTATTTTCAAGTTCAATTATCAGCCTGGCATAGCAGTGCAAAATTTGGTTCCCAAGCTTATCACCCCGTGTTTTGTAACCCCCTTTTTCTTAACCCCCTCTCATATGACCCCGAAATTAGATAAACCCACTACAATTTAACCCCTTTTTAAAACCAATTGTTAGAATCAAATTGAAACTTACTTGAAAAGAAGTCGGAACCATATCGTCGTTAAACATCAAAGCTTTAATTGCGAAAAATTTTGCGAACCAAAATGAGTTAACATGCACGCTGTTAAATGCGTTTTAGATTTGAACAGAAAGTAAAACAGGATCACAATTGCTATAAATCAAGCTAGTGGGTCATGAAAATCGATATCTTAGATTTCGTTTACCCCCGATATAATCCATTAAAATCAAATTATTAAGTTATTTGATTTGATTGGAAATGTTCAGCCTTTCGGATTCTCTGCCATGAGAAAAAACGCCCATGATTAGAGCTTCCAGGAACTTATGACTGAGAAGCCTTTCTGTAAGGGACTGAAAACTGGGTTTTTGAGCAATCAAAGAAGTGAAAAAAAATCAGTCATTTCAAATTAATTAACCGAATAAGTTTAATAAAGTAAATGTTCAAGCTGTTTGTATTGAATTTAAGAACTCAAACTGTGCACTATTCATTTCGTCGTCTGTACTCCCTCTGTCTGTGCTGCCATTTTCATCTTTGTACTCTACAAAGTCGAAATGATAATACACTCCCATCATCTGATAGAACTCCTCCAGACACTCAATTACTTTATATTGTATACGATCCACTTGATCTTTAGGGCAATAATCGTCCAAAGAACTCCTCGCGATTGTCACTAGTGAAGGACAACACTCTGACGATGAAAACGCGGAGGCAACTAGGTGGCTGAAATCGTACATGGAAGACTTGATTTCGAGCTCCGAGCTCTTGTGATGAGGCAGTTCGGTCGTATCAAAGGTCATCCCACAATTGTGAACAATTTCAGGATCATGACCTTTTTTCAAAACTGATGTTAGAGCATTGTATTCCACTGTTCCCGTTTTTCCTTTCAAAACAATGTTCTCTAAAGCGTCAATCTGTCGCCGACGTTTCGACAGACACATATTGATGCTTCGGCGCTCCGATTTTGATGTTGGCGGCTCGAAGTCATAATAACTTCGGATGATTTCAAAATCACTAGGCGAGAAAATACCTTTGAAGGGATTGAGACAACTGAAATAGTCCAAATCAATGTCCAAAATATATTTCTGACTGAGCGTTATTGTCCTTACTGTACTTATGCATTGCTCGTCAGAACTATTTAGAACATATAGCTTAAAAGGCACTTGGTTTTTTAACCTTTCAGGGGGCGCGTAGACAAGCGCCGATAAAAAATAGTCGTGGACGCATGAAATTTTAAGCAACCCAGATACTGGATCTTTGCCAATTACTAAATCCAGGGGTTTGTCGGGATCCGTGTCCGGCAACTGGTTTGCCCAAGGTGGGTGTATCCAAACAATTGTCGAAAAATGTCCAGCGTAAACTGCGGGTAAGATCCAGTTTTCGATTCCCAGACTGGCGAACAAGGCTGACTTATCTTTGATATCATCTGCTTGGAGAGTTTCGGGAATCATCAGATCTGGATGTGCGTCGAAATGTATCAAAGCAAGGTTGGCAAACGGTATTCTTTTGGCGCCGATTTCGCGATAGATAATGTGCAAGGCGTCGTCGTGGTCTTCGACGATGTTGACGGCGATTCGACTCTCCAAGTTCAACATGTGTTGTGGCATAGTTGTTTGAGCTTGCTGCCTTATTAAGGCAGGTCTATGTCTGCTAGAACCAGACGCCATGGCGTCAAAACAAGGATCTGTTTAGTTTTATATCATTCAAAAATGATCTGAAATAAAAAAAACCAGGTGCAGAAAAATTATTTCAACTTGATGCATTATTTGTTACAGCTTTGAAAATTATATTCGTCTCCGGTATAGGATTAAGCGGGTCCTCAATTGGTAGTATTTTATGGCATACATTTTGGTAGATTGATTCTAAAATTTATCTAAAGGTATAATTGGCCCCAATATTTGATAAATTTGAGGCGGAGCACGCCGAACGACGCCATGTTTGCACCGCTGAGAATTTTGACAAAATAGCTTCGTCTCTCTAGTGTTTTGGGAGATCTTGGAAAACTTTTCAAATTTTTTTGACACCACCAAATAAAAATTAGAGCAAATACTTCATAACATAGCAGAAAACCTTCAATAAAATGAAAGTTGCAAAACCAACTCATTCAGTAAATTCTGATCATTAAATTTTTCAGCAAGGGCAAAACAAAAACAACAATGACCCATCGATGAGTTAAAAAGACAACTATCATGGAAATAAAAAATCTTGAAACCAAAATGAATTTTTTTCAAAGAACTAGAAAAACTAAAACCAAATGTAGAAACAATATTTTAACAGAGGCGCAGCGGAGCTGCTCATCACTTGCAATGTAATACTCGGAAAAAATGGACGAGAAAACTTCAAAGCAAGTCGCGAAAAATAGAACAACTTGATCGAAAAAACTAAGTAAAAAAAATAGATCTACTGTAGAAATCGAAAAGAAATTTATACAATAGAATGTAGGTCAGGCGGTAAAAAAACCAAAAATGTCTGAGCAGAAACCCTTAAAGCCGAAAAAAATTTTTTAACCAATTCGGAAAAAAGTTCAAACCTATAAAAAATTGTTGGGCTCACCCCTCTCAAAATGCACACAAAGAAATTTTTGCTCATCAAACGATACAATACGGCCAAGTAAACCGTTTTAAAATATGCCGAAAACTATTAAACCAAGAAAAAAGAAAAGGAAAAAACAAAAATATAATTTTAACAAACCGAGTTGGTAAAATTATAATGAAAATAAAAAAAAAACAAATTTCGAATAGGCAGTATGTTTGAAATGCTATTATTCTCAAAAAATCCATGTGGCCACAGAATGGCCTAGTGCATGAATGAGTCCAGGATCCAGGAGATGAGTCCTGTGCCTCAAGTTATTTACGGGAAAAAAGTCTATTACCCGATTGAATATTCTTGCTAACGCAAGGGTAAAAATCAAAATCTGATTACATCAATCTTTGTGATGGTTTGAGGCTTCAAATAAAAACTTTTCAGATGCTAAAAAAACCTTGAGTAAAAATTTTTTGTGAAAACGGGCAAAGCGACGCTTTTCAACACTTGTTACAAATATGCATTTCATTAAAATAGTGCTGTCCTGAATGAAATTTATATTGTGGCAAACAATTCAAAAAACAAAACTGCCGGCATAAACTTAACATTAATTTAATATTCATACCAAACATTGTACTAAAAAACTTTGAGCCTTGAAATCTGCAGCTCTTCGAAGTACTCCACCTAAAACAAACCACGCATAACAAAAAAATCTCGTCTTGAAACAACGCAAAACGAGTTAACGACGCTGTGAAGCCGCTGTAGCGTCAGCCGAAATAAATTAAGCCGAGTAAACTTTTCACGCAATATAGAAGTAAAAAGTTTACAAGTAACTGAAATGGGAGTTAGAAACTTTAAGCAAACTTATTATACAAACTCAGAAATGAAATATTAATTAAACTGCAAAAATACTGAAAACACGTTTGCTAGTTGACAAAATGACAGTAGACGAAAAAAATATCCAGTGATTTTTAGGCAAGATGTTAACTTAATCAAGCATACAAAACGATCGCCATCAGACAAAACAATACTTGACAGAGGAAAAGAAGTCAAACACAAATATTCCAACCTTCCTTTGCAAGTCGGAGCAAAAGTGCACGTGCGGTCATAAGCTGAAAATACCACGCTTCAGAAAAAAATATCACGCGAATGAAAATAAAATGACTAGACAGTTTTATTTACTAAAGTTTTTTTTCAAAAACTTAGTAGTACATAATATGGACCATTTTTAACCATCACTTGGGATACAACACAAAAATAAAAAGCATAAGAAGTCGAAAAATGTTGAAAAAGAAACAAGGTCTGCCGAAAAATGATGAAAAAGAAGCAAGTTCAACCAAAATTTTCCTGATAATGATAATCCACCAAAATTCTTGATAAGAGTTCATTCTTGGCAAAAAAGCCGGGAAAAAATGCCAAGCAACGGAAAAAACATACGAAGCGGAAACAAAGCCAACAATCTTTGAGCAGACAAGCTGAAAAAAAAAATTGTAAAAAATTTCAAGCCCCCCTCTTGAAACTAGAGATGTCTTTCATTCTCCTAGTTCTCTTACATTATCCCAATTTACTCCAAGTTAAATGTTTTAAACACTTACACTGACAGTACAGTCGTAGCAGCCAGTACTTCACCCTGATGGGTGCAGTCTTTTTCGGTTCCTACCTTTTTAACTCTAAACAACTTAACACCATACAATTTCACTCCCTACTTTTTCTTGCCTTAGCAATTTAAAACCATTATATTTTAAAACCACTTCCATTATTTAACACCGTTTTGATCCAAAATGAAAAGAACTTACTTCAAAGGGGACTTCGGTAAACATTAAAGATTCAAGCAAGGAAAATTTGGTCTTTTAAAGCCCGACAATTTCGTGCTACTTAACCCGCGTAAGCTTTGAACAGAAATGACCTCGCCGATAATTCGAAAGTTAAAATATTCGAACCAAAAAATGAGCAATCTTTCAACTAACTTCAAGGGCTCGCAATTAATTAAACGTTCTTTGACTAAAATTTGTGTGATTTTCCAGACATTTTAAGCCGGTACAGAAACTATAAAAGGTTTAACTAATGCCTAAAGGCTCAGAACCATTCCGTTTTCGAATCATTCTGGAACGGAAATTATAACATGATTTTGTTCAACTTTTTTTGAATTGTTGGGACATAAACGCAAAGCTAAATGATTTACCAGCCCTTACATAGCATCCCGAAAATAAGGGCAATGGGCCCGGGATTGAATTGTTAGTGCACGAGTCAAGTTCTTGCGTTTAGTTACGTTTTCCGGGAATCTGTAATAAAACGTCTTTAAAAAAACCGAGTAAAAATTTAAGTAGGGTTAAAATTTGAACTTTAAGGATATGAATGATAAACAAAAACAGTCAAAGTTTACACTGGTTTAGCACAAACTAGATAACGCTCTGAAAAATTACAAATCAGTATTGTCTGCGTAAACTGACATTATTTTTTGTACTCTTTCATTTAATACGGGTACTTTTTCTTTCTTTTTGTGAATTAATGGCCACTTGAGGCATCGAAAAAGTTAAGTTATTACATGGAGGCGTCTTTTTACAGGCTGGACACTTTTTTCCCATATATTTTGGTGAGCTACACTGAAATAGGATTGGATGCCGAAATGCCATTCTTCGACAGCATTTGTTGTTCTAGCAATCCCACTCAACGCCTAATCTCGCTGGTTCCAAAGGGAGAGTGGGAAAAATCTTCACGGTTTGGCAATATCAGATAGCTTAACATGAATTGAATATTGCTGAAAAATTATTTTGGGGATAAACATTTATGAGATCATCAACTCTCAGCATTTCAGAGTCACCGCACAAAATGATTCACTTGTGATCATTTGACCGTCATAACGAAATTTCCAAAAGCTTCAGGAATCTCGAAATTTCTCGCAACGGGGATGGGTGACATATTTAAAGACAATAAATTGTTTTACTATTAAATTTTAGGACAAAGACTTATTCAACTATCGACCATCTGCAATTTGAATTTCAAGAATTTTATAAAAAGCATAACTAAAAGATCCGGTAATTTCCTTCTTTCATTTATTGAATTTAGAATGTCAATTTTCAGATATTTAACAAACAGTCATACAAAGATGACATGCATCGTAAAAACAATTATACTTTTAAAAATAGACAGAATATTTATTCTGCCTCTTAAGCAAGGCTTTTATTCAAGCTGTGGTCAAAAAAGGATTTTGAAGACCAATGCCCTCACCCGAGATGCAAAATATTTAGCATTTTCACAATTACTGTTTCCGAATCTCAGTCACCGGAATCTCGGTGTCTCACGCCAGTGGTCCACTTCTCACTGTAAGGTCTTTGGCTATAGGCCACGAAAACATTCATGTGTATTAGTGATTGTAGTCAGAGATGCAATTCATTCCTGGAACAATTTTTCAGTCACTTGTTCTTTACTTAGGTTTCTGCTGCCCAAAACAGAGCCAGAAAATAGAAATGCGACCAAAATCCTGAAAAGAGGCTGCACTCTAAATACATTGCCCGAAGCTCTAGTCTCTTTAACTGGCTCAAAGTTACTGGCTCATCAGGATCAGTTAGATGCCTTAGTGAATAAGTGCATCAAAACAGATTTCGCGGACAAGGTTTCAATGACAACAAACCGGCCATAAAACAAGGCCCGTGAACACTCACTATTTGTCCTCTGTCAATCAAAACATTCAACTTCATTTCTCTCGAGGGGTTCGCACAACAACTTTAACCCAGCCTTTCAGAAAGTATATACACATAACAACAACATCGAACTTTTCGAAGAAAGGTTTCAAAGAAGTTACAAAATTAACTTGAGGTGTGGAACCATTTCAACATTGGGCCCGCTCTTCAGAGAGACTGAAGATGCTCTGTTGGCACAGAGCAAACATTGCGTAATAGTTGGCAACAAGATCAAACTTGATCAGCTGTCTACATGCCAACTGCAAATTAATGAAAACTGCTCTGTACACAAGTGCTAGGTAAATAAAACGACAAGACATTAATAAGACAAGACATTCAGACGACATGAGAGTTTAAAAAATTCGATTTGTTCGAATTTAAGCGAATTCTATTTCGCAGTAATTAAATAGGAGAATTTTTTTAGCGTCGTCTTAAAGTCACAAAAAATCTGTTGTCGTCTTTACAGCTGTCGTCTTATTTTCTGGACACCCCCCCCCCCCACCGCACACAGCCTGCTGGGTTTTCACAACAGCCCCCAAACGTTCGCTTTGCATAACTCTTCGTCCAACAAATTCCTTGTGGGAGCTGAGGCCTCAAACTTGGTTTAGACCAGTTTGCTCTGATTTTTGTGACCTCGAAGGGTATAGGTTCAAAATAGTGCAATATACTATGCCATTTTCCCAGATCTTAACCACCACCACAGCCTTTGGCCTGGCAACCGTCAAGATTAAATTCACGAGAGACTGAATCACCTGTTGTTATCATTGAAACAGCATATGAGCTGGAAAATACACACAAACAGGAAACTACATATACTTAAACCATAAGTTCAGATGATAAAACACTCCAGTTAAGTGACATAAAAAAAACAACCATTCAGTTAAATAGACTCGAAAGAAGAAAAAACTATATTGACTGAAATATCTTATTCTTCACTTTGTGTACAAAATATCAAAAACTATGGATTTAGAAAATAGGCATAAAAATATCACAATTAAGATATTTTCTAAACTACTGCACGCACTTACATTAGCATGTGAGAAATATATCTCCCAGAGATGTAGATTCTGCAATCAAAAGGAAAAGTTTCGACCGTACAATTTAAGGCAAACATAATTGCAAACAAATAAAATGATGAAACTTATTTTTGATAAACTAACATTTTTGATTGAATTACATTTTTAAAGGCAGTTTGGATCAAAGCTAGAAAGAACAGTTATCGCAATGAACACTACTGAACTTGTACATCAACTATAGATTCACACAAACAGAATGGTTAGAATCAGTAGCGGGTTTAGGGGGAGGGGCGGACGCTCCTTCATGTAATTCGACCCCCTGACAACCCAAATGGTCCTGCTTTTTTAAGACATACATTTAAGGCAGAACGATTCTAAGTTTTCTAAAATCGTCAAAATAGGGCTTTATAGTTATTGAGAGAGCTCTGAAAATCTATTTGGTCGCCCCCTCCTATATCCGCACCTGGTTGGATTTGTTCAACGGTATTTTTGAAATCGGAGAATTCGTACATGAAAAATTCGAACCAAAATGCGAAATTTAAAAACGCTCTGAAGAATTTAGTAAAATTCAGTTTATATCCAACAAAATATCATCATCGGCGATTTCACCCATGAGCTTGGATCAGTTCCACTTAAAAAATCGAGTCAATTTCAGATCGAGTCACTTGTTTCTATTATCTTTCACAAAGTTTTAGGTATGCCAGCGAAACTTCAAATTTCGAAAAATCACTTAAAATTTGAGTCTGCAGACAATTTTGCAACCAACATCTCTTTCACAATTTCTATTGAAGATAGTCGGAATCTTGCAAGATTTGCTCGGGTTGGTTTCGAAGTAGAATACTGTTCTCTACTTCTGTGTGACGGAGGATATCTTCAAATGTGTCTAAAATCAATAACTATTTACAATAGATAAAACCTATGAGATGCATAGACATTTTTCTTCAATATTTGATTTTAATTTTCATGAGATTAAGTTTTGTTGTTTCTGTTCACTGATATTTTTTGCTTTGACCATGTAACGCAGTAGTTGGAAAAAACTTCAGGAGTATTTTTAAGAGCTCCTCAAGGAAGGGGGTCAGGTGTGGGGGGGGGGGGGTATCATGTAAGAACCCAATTTGTGTCGCAATTCGTATCAAAATAGATTCAAACAACTGTCACGACGAGAATATCTGGTCTGAAACTTTGGCTGTTCGGGAAAGGGTCAAATTTAGCGAAGGATCTTCATTAACAATTAAGTATTTACAAGAGGAACTATTTGTTTCCTTATTTTTATGACAAACTACTTTAAAAGCAATTTATATTCTGCTACCAAAAAAAAGACTATGATATCGATGTCGTAATTTTTGATGCAACTAAATCAATTATTCGAGCAATTGCTCCAACTTTCCGAGAAAAAGACGAACTATTTATGCTAGGATAGATTTTGTTGTCTTTTAAATAAACAATACTTGACCGAGTTTTTCATAGTCTAAAAATATTGATACACAGGTGAAACAAAGCTTCGCACCATTTGCGATAAAAAAAACGAATGAATATTACTATTAAAAAAATCCGAAATCTTGGAAGTGCACTTTCACAAATTTTACAAACAAAGGCGAAGCGAAGGTTCGCTTTAAGTGCAATACAACAAAGACATAGCATGACAAACTAACCGATAGAAATCGAGATAGAAGTCGCAGAAATAAACTCAAATCGGGCAAAAAAAAAATTTATCCCAAGGGTAATGATACAAAAAGATCAAACTTAGAATACAATTCATATGGATTTGTTTTCGTGAAGTTATATAATTTAGCAATTTCTTTGACCAATTTGGGATGAATTGCGAGCATTAAATTGCGTTCTTATATCGCGTCAAAAGCAAAAATTAATCATAATTGATTTGAGGTTCGCCAATTGACACGAAAATTATGAGAAGAGATGTAAAATATAGCACTTTCTTTGAAAATGGGAGGAGAATAAAAAATCAATATTTTTTCTGAAATTGTTCCAAAATTTCTCAGCAAAATCTATTCCAAACACCTTAAAAAGCAGCTGAATTACTCAGAGCTTCGCCCTAACACAAGCAGTCCTGCTGTAAATAATTATCTAGTTCGTAAAATAATATCAGCATTTCGAGTGAGGAGACACTTTTCATAAATTATTTTCAGACTTAAATTGCTTTAGCTTTTTTAAACTAAAAGCAGCACATAGGCAAATTGTTCTAGTTTCAGGTCCCCCTAACCGCATAAAAACCCACCCATTATAAGGCATTATTCCAGGTGCTTTTGGAATTTTACAGATTTGGTGGCTTGGGCCATGCGCATTTTTGCAAATCAACGAAATCCGCGGTTTACATGGTTAGGCAACAAATTGGACAACAAATAAAGTTACAGATTTAGTGAGTTTCGCGTTTGAATGAGTTTTCTCCGGGTATCAACAAAGATTTTCTGTAAGCAACACAAAGAATATAAGCGTCAAATCAAATTATTTTTTTTTTCATAATTAAAAAATTTCAAAACAACAAATCATCAATTTTGTCCATAAAAAAAGTATATACTTCGATCCAGAAGGAAACCAACTTTAGCAAATTGCATAAAAAACTTTTAGCTTAGATGATAACTTCAAAAACTCAAGCTTGTATTTTTTTGCGTCTACGCTGGTTAAGTTTAGAACACTCCCAAAGTTTTTTATATGAGCAGATTGCGGGCAGACGAAAAAAAAGACAAAAAAAATTAGCCAATTGTTAATTGGAAAAGAGTAATGAACGCAAAGAAAAACACAAAAAAACCGTCCTGTTTTTTGAAAACTTCAAATTCAAATGTTAAAGACAACGTAAAAACATATAGAGCTCTTAAATTTCACAAAAAAAAAATAGGATTGGTGCTTTTTTGATAAAAATAAACCAATTTGAGAAAACTTGATCAAAACTAAAAAATTTTATTTTGCTGGGAAATCTGATCATTAAGTTCCCTTTTCGAAAATAGAAGTCGATAACGTTTTTCGTGATTTTAACATTTTTGCGGTTCGGTAGAGGAATTTGCCTTTCTTTTTACAAAGGAAATGAAGTGAATTTGAAATCAAGAGACAAACAGCGAAGAATCAAAATTGAGCTCGAACAAACTTTAGGACTTTTTCCTGAAAAAAAAACGCAAAAAAAAACCACCACTGACTACGTTCTTTACTCTTAAAAATTACACAAAATAAAACACAGACGAAGCGGAGCCTGAGAAAAATTTCACAAGTTATCCACCAAAAAAATTCCGGAAAACTTGACGTTATAAACTTGATAAATTGCAATAAATCGCAAGATGACACAAGAGAAGCAATGAATTATTTGTAAATCTCACAAAATACTGAAACGAAACTTGCCATAAGAACTTGTCTACTTGTTCAGCACTTACCAAGCCATTTCATAGAAAAAACAAGAACTGTAAGAAGAACGATGTTAAAAGAGTTGCTTAATGGGAAAAAAATGATATTTCTTGCAAATGACAGCTTTAATAAATTAATTCTTCTCCTTTAAAAGAAGCCGACTAAAGTTAAAACAAACATATCAGAAGACGGTTTTTTAAATAGGCGAAGACTGGAAAAAACTACTAAACATCAAGAGTGCATAAGACAGAAGAAAATGAGCAGAAAATATAAAAACATACCAACTGGAAGTTAAGTGATAGATAATACACACCAGCCAACATCTACGCCATTTGAGTGAAAATAGCAAAACTTTAGTTCGTGTTACTTAATTGTTACATTAACTCCGGTGTAACAGGTCCGAATTTCGTCTGATTTATTGGCTACTGGTTTACACTTCGGTTGGCGTTTTTACCAAAGTATCTATAAGCTTTCATCTCACCTGATTCATGCCCTCTTGCATCTGGGTAAATAACAATTACTGACAGTACTTGCTGGTTGGAATTGTCATTGTCACTTGGTTGCGGCATTTGGCTTTGTATCAATGGTGGCTGCAGTTCCAGCGATTCGCGATTCGGCTGCTGGTTCTGGGCGTTGTTGGGTCGTCGGTTTCCAGTACAACAAAAGCATTGTCGAATCTTCTCCCAGTTTCGACGGTCGAGCCTGTTGGTCTGAACCAAGACAGCGACAATTTGCGAAGTGATCACAAACACAGCAGCTAGGACAATTAAAGTCAAAATAATAAATAAACTGTCATCGGCGTTTGCGGTCTTCGACGACTTTTTATCATGCAACTTAGCAGCAAACGTTTGGTCTGGCGCTTTTTGCATTTGACTCTTTAGCTCAACCAATTTGGGCATCTTGGCTGGTCTGTCTTGTTTTAAATTAGGACTCCTTTTCATTTGCAGATACTTGCATGTTTTATCATCATCTTTCAGTTTGGATTCTTTGGGTTCAAAGGTTACACTATCAGCACTCCCATTGGAAAGAATTTCCAGCGAAGAGCTCAATCCACCGCAAGTTAATCTACTGTGAGACAGAAGACGCACTTTCTTATGAAGATCCGCGTCTCCTAAGGGAAGGGCAATCCGCATCTTCGGCAGTCGTTCCCTGTCACTGTTTGCCACTTGAATTTTAGCCGCGAAGTAGTGGTCGACACTCTGTTGTAAGCTTGATGAGAAGTACCCGACACGAAATAGCACCTCGTTTGTGTGATGTAAGTTGCTTAGGTGACTTTCAAGGCTAAGGATGAGGTAGTTGGGAGGGTTTTGATCTGATGAGTGCATAGTAACGACGCTATTATAACTTGCGTCGATCTGCGGTTGACAGAGATCCCCACCATAATTCTCGTTGTTCAACTGATCGTAGAACAGTTCTGGAGTGCTTCCAATAACTGTAAAAACAGCTTATTTAACCCACTAAAATTTATTAAGTTGAGCGGATTCAAGGAAAAGAGGATTTAAGCAAATTTCCTAAGTTTCCTCGTTTCAAAAAGGTAGTTTAAATATTATGTAAATCATCACACCATTTTTTGTTTTCAACAAGGTCAAAAATATTTGAAAAGACAATCCAATTCGGGTTAAGCAGTTATTATAAAAATTACGAGTTGCTCAAGACTAATGAGTATGTATTTCATCGTAAATTAAGTACTGTTAAAGCCATACTTGAGTAAACAGAAGAGCTTGAAACCGGAAAGATCAGAAGAGGTGATTCAAGATCTATTCGATCTTTAAAAAAATTCCGACACAGGACAGAGTCAATCATACACGGTCAAAAGATAAATCAGTGTTTTAGCGTTAAAGGAAACTCTTGGAATTCTCAAAGTTATTTGACAAAAAATAAACAATATTTAGTCTGGAATGATTTTATAATGACAATGTCCAAGCTTTAATGTGCAAGTGTCGCATGTTTCTGTTTTAGGACTCCAGCTTTTTAAAAATCTACACCAATGACCTGTCTATGTTTGGAAAGAATTGCAGACTTACTTTGTTCGCTGAAGACATATCTGTATTTAGAAACACAAACGTTTCACTTTATTACATTCAGCAAAATCCTATATGAAACTTTCTGCCTGAGCTAAGACTGCAAACTATAAGTTTTGTTTTGAAAGTTTGATTAAAAAAAATAAATTCAAACTCTTATCTAATGTTTTCTTTTCGTGAGAAAAAAGGTTATTTTTTCTGTTTTGATTAATAAATAACCAAAACAACAAATTCACCAGAATTTTGCATAAAAATTGTCCAATTAAATCATAGCTGGCTTACCGTAGCAATGAATGCACTCATTCACATTCTTCTCGTCAATGTAGAGTGAGCACCTGTTCATGAAACTACTCTCGTCAACTTCGGACAGCACACCCACGGTCACATAACAGCATAATAAAGAGAGGAGAGAGGATAGATTCAAGATAGCATCGCGCGCCACCTTCATCATAGGTCGTCCATGATGGCCCATGTCAAACGTCACTCGCTTCAACAAAATTAGCGAGATGACGTACAACTACAGCAAACACCACGTGACTCGATCCACATAACACAACTGGAAGAAATTGCATGAAAACATTAAAAATTACTACAAAATTAGGATGATCAAATTAGGAGCAACAGGGTGGACAAACCCCTCATTAATACATTTTCGGACCCATGTGAGCAATCTTATCCTCAAGAGACCAACAAAACTAATCTCCCCCTAAAATTGAATGACAAACTCAAGCCGTACGGCCTGTATGTACTATGCTCCATTCTATTTCACTGAAAGACATACCTAGCTACAAGTGAGTCGACACTTCGCAGAAATGTTAAAAAGAGACAGTTCGCAGTAATTTTAAAAGGCGACAATTAGCACCAAGCGTCAATTCGTAGCAAGCGACAATCAGCAGTACGATTAATTGCTAATTGGAGGGATTACTAAACGATGCGAATTAATCAAGTTTTGCGGTGGTTGAGTGGGGATTGAAATCCAGAGAGCGATCAAAACCATCAACTTAGTACCAAATTTGAATTAAGTTAATAGCATCTAAAACACTTTTGTTTTAATTCATTCGTTTCAATATTATCTTGCAAATTATTACACTTACTGATACCAATATGGCTTTGATTTGAATTTTGTATAGCTTTGTGTAAAGCTTCTTTTGCCACCATCGCAGATAACATACTACGCATATCCAGGTTAAACTGATCATACCCAAAGGAACAACAATAGAACCCCTCAAACATGCTAATTTTTTAAACACCGGGGTACTTTTTTTGGGGGGGGGGGGGGGGGGTTCAAATTTTTTTGTTTGACCTAATAAAACGACAAATTTACACGGTTAAACGTGCTATCAAACAGAAACGAAAAACAACATTGGAGCCTCCCACGGTCAATGAACTGGAAAACGCTGGGGATAAAAGCCTCGAAACAGCTGTTAACTTGCCTACGTACATGTCACCTGCCAGAACTGTTCAACGGCAACGAGCAACTGATTCTGCAAAAAGAGGTGAAGAGCAAAAAATCCTGGCCTTCAGACACCTGAAAGAAATCAATCCAGGATTTGAGCCCTCACAGACTTTGGTGAATTTGAGAAGGCTTCAATAAACGCTTTTGCAGGTATTCAAGGAAGTAACTATAAATGGTTGCTTCTTTCAGTTTGCTCAGGTCAAGTGGCTCAAAATTCAGGAGATTGGATTAGCAACAATTTATCGAGAAGATAAAAAACACGCATGCTTCTAAATGGAATCGTTGCTTTGGAACCAATACCTGAGCTCGACTGGCATGGCTGCTTTATGCTGTTAAATTTCTGACAAAATTGACGATCCCCCTTACTAACTAGATTACGATTATTTTGAATCAACGATTATTTTGAGTCAGCGATTATTTTGAATCAACTTGGGTTGGAACTATCCTCCAAGGACGCAGAGGGGTTGGGCAATTCCCTATTTCACTCTGGAATCGGTTCAAAACCGCCAAAAATGGAAGACAGAAAAGCAACAATTCGGTCGAGGGATGGCATAGCGCCTTCCAGGTGGGGATGGGGTGCGCTCACTTCTGCCACTCACAAATTTATCCAATTTCTGAAGAAAAAAAAACGATGTCTGTCGGAGAACAAATTGGTGAGAATAACTGCCAAAGAAAATGCCACTAAGGTGGCAAAACACGAAAAAAGCCAAGCCAGATTAGTTGAACTCCTTAAACATTATAGCAACAATTAAATTCTGAAGCAACTTGATGGCTTCTCGTTCAATTTTGATTTTTAGTCTTTGTTCTTTAACCCTTTCATCTAAATTCTTTTTATCTGATCAAAGCTTTTACCGCTACTAATTACTACGAGTCTTCGCGTGCTGCGAATAGTCGCTTGTTACAAATGCTGCAAACGCTGCGCTAGCTAAACTTATGATAGTTGTATCCCTAACATTTTGAAGGGTCCCTGAAGACATTTTTCGTGCTCAAAATCAGCCAAAACAGGGCGAGCATTTATGTAATTGTGTTTTTGACATTTTCTTTTAAATTGCGGGACTCAACTTTAATTGCTTCATTAGATCTTTCCCAGATCCCCATATTTTTTCTGAAATTCTGTTCTGTTCAAAATGACTTTTGATGCTCTAAATCGCAATTTAACTAGTGGTGCAACATTCGCTCGAAAATAGCCTTCGAATATTTGTCAGCAACATTCGAACATTCGTCGAACCTAGACACATTCGATATTTCATTGGGTTTATCCGTATTCTCAAAAAAAATGAAAGCCAATCAAATTCATCCACAATAATTTCAGTTCAAGAGATGTAGAAATAATGAAATTAGGCCGTTTAGTGCATAAGACCCCGGGGTTCCTAACGTAAATAGTGCCTAAAAAAATGTTCAATTTCGTGCTTTGGCGATGTCAGTTTAAGTATCGAATTAGTTTGCGCGAATGGGGCATGATAATTAAGTTTGAGAAAAAGTTTTAAAAAGACCGACAGGGGCATTTAGTTATTTATTTGCCTAAAAGTGATGTAATTTGGGATTGGCACAATGACACCCCTCTCTCACAGTTGGTTTTTACCGGGACCCCTCTATCACACTTCTACCCATAAATCATTTATATAAAGGGAGGTCGAATGTTTTAAAGAGCCAACAGTTGTTATTCGAAATCAGCTGTTCAAATAATGTGTTCAGTTGGCGGTACATATTGATAATTCTGTACCATATTATAAAACGATATGCTGCAAAAAACAATTCTGACCCCGACGTGATTCGAACACGCAACCTTCTGATCTGGAGTCAGACGCGCTACCGTTGCGCCACGGAGTCCTTGCAAATAGCACAGCTCAAGTCTAAATGTACCAAAGAAGACACACCATCAACACAAACTAATCATGACAAAAAGCCATCAACACAACCAACCATGACATCAAAAGACCACTCAACCACAATCAAAGCATATCATAAGTTTACCAAAAATTGTGGGCCTTTTCTGATATACGGCCCAAAATGGCTCTTTTCCAGTTCCCCCCCTTTCAAAATACCGAGTTTTATGTTTGTTCTACGTGTTATTACGGCTAAATGCGTGATGTTACGCTGTAAAGTATGAAGAACAAATCTGTTCACAGTTGTCGATTTGTTCAGCACGCCAAATTTCATTGCATTATGACAACGTTAAATAAGCTTTTCAAAATTGAATTTGCAAGGTGGGGGGAAACTGGAAAAGAGCCCCCAAAATTGCCTAAGGCTCTTTTCCAGTTTCTCACCCCCCTCGAAAAATTACAAAATAAAACTGTTCAAAAATTGTTCACACGGCATTTACCATGTTATAAATGTTGGGAAAATTTGTTCACCTGTTCACGCTGACACGTTTTAATGCAGTTTACAAATATGAAAAGTAATTTTAAATAGACTTTCCTTTAATGAATTTCAGAAAAATCAAAGAGGCGGGGAAACTGGAAAAGAGCCGCTGTTAATAGTTGTTAATATATTATATATGTTGAAATATGCAGTCAGAATTTCAGCAAATTGATTTTCCGTGCTCTCCCAAAGCCTTAAAAAGACTCAGGTTCAAATAATGTATATTTTCAGACGTTCTCTCAAAGTCGAGAAAACTGTTATAAGATAATTGATTCATGTGTCTTTATGTTGGCATATTACTAAAATTTCGATCTTTTCTAAAAAATTTTTGGTTACTTAGGCTTATAAAATAACGTACTGCCAGGGGCGGATCTAGATTTTTTCGAGGGGGTGGGGCGGACTTTCAAAGAAAAATTTCGAAAATTTAGTCGACTTTTTTTTAGGTCGACTGAATTGTTTTTCCGAGCTCTTCAATGCACTACAAAATCCTTGTTTTGGCCAAAATTCCTGTGCCGCAGGCGAAATTTTGAAAAATACAGGCCAAAAAGAGGCGTTTTTAGGAACGTTTTTGGAAAATTTTACCAAAAAATTGTTTTTTTTTTCGGCGCGCGCTCCCCACTCAAAATTAGTATATATTGGCGCCTTTAGCAAACTTTTTAGGATTCGTCACCAAAAATGGATATCTCAAAATAATATTAAGGAGGGACCGCCCCTGAAATACTCAGAATTACTCTAGTGATTATAACAAGAGCGGATTTGGAGGGGGGCGGTCGGACACATCAGGGATTCGACCCCCTGCCGACCCAAAGGGTCCCCCTTGTACTATTTTGAAATATTCATTTTTGGTGACGGACCTTAAAAGAATTCTGAAGGCGCCTTTTGGGCGCCAATATATAGTACTTTTGAGGGGGGAGCGCGCGCCGAAAAAATGCAATTTTGGTCATGGTTTTTTTGCCTAAAAAGTTTGATTCTTTTCGGCGCGCGTTCCCCCTCAAAATGAGTTTATTTTGGCGCCAAAGGCGCCTTCAGAAAGTTTTTAGGGACCATCGCCAAACATGGATATATCAAAATAGTACAAAGAGGGGACCCTTTGGGGCGGCAAGGGGTAGGGGGTCGAATCCCTGACGGAGGGGTTGAACCCTGAGGGAGGGGTAGAGGGGGATGCGTCTGCCCCTCCCTAAATCCGCCCCTAGCCAGAAACTTTTCAGATTGGAAATTAAAGTAACTATATTGTTTATATCAAGAAATTTGCTCGTTTCAATTTATTTTACGATGTGTTGGGTTAACTTATTGATCAACAAAACTCAATTTAGCCTTTTTTGAAGTCTTCACCTTAAAATGGCGAGGGCGAGATAACACAGAAAAACGAAACAAAAAATTTGTTTGAATAAATACTGCGACATTTTTTTGAATGGCGAACTCATAATTATTCAAGGATTTGAGAGCTCTAGGTGTCTTATTCTCAATTGCCCAGGTTATTTTCAAGGGACCACTCCAACATAGTAGTTCCATTTCAACCAATCAGATGCGGGATTTACGATGTAATTTTAAAATAACAACAAGATCAGTTTAGGGCCGAGATTGTACGTTTGATCCGATATGACTAAGAAATGCCGGGGATCTACTAAACAATCTCCCCCTCTATGGTGCTTACTTAAGTATCTCCACCCCTTTAAATAAATGCAGTAAATTATCACTGAGCTTTCTATTGTGAATTCTAATTCTGATGCATTCTG